CCTGGTAGTTGGACTTGCCGGCCTTGGACACAAAGCGCTCGTCATTCACCACGGTGGCCAGGCGCTGCGCGGCCTCGTCCAGCCGGTCACTTGACTTAAGGTACTCGATGTACTCCTCTGCGCTCTCAGGGCTCAGCTGGGCACCGACCACCCCCACCGGCAGTCAGTGGGGCTGCAGGGCCACTGTGCCATGGCCCTTTCCTCTCGGTGGCTCCAGGCCTCCTGTCAGCCACCCACCTTGTCCCAGCCAAGAGCCATCCCTGCTGACTCAGCCTTAGCCACATCTGTCCAGCCTGGGCCCCAGTGGTCCAGCCTAAGTCCTAAATGGTCCAGCCTTGACTATAGTGGTCCAGTGTGAGGCCTACTGGTCCCATTGATCCAGTTGGCGCCCCAATGGTCCAGCTTTGACTAGTGGTCCAGCCTGGGCCTCACTGGTCCAGCCTCAGCCCTAAGGGCCCAGCCTGGGCTCTAGGTGACCATCCTGGGTCTCAGTGATCCAGTGTGGGCCCCACTGGTCCAACCCCAGCCCTAACTGGTCTGCCTTAGACACCAATGGTCCAGCCTGCACAGGCCAGGCCTTGGTTTCACCACAAACTGTTACGCAAACAGTACCATGCTAAGGGTTTCATGACATCACAGATGTCAGAAGTTTGAGAAAACCGCACACACTCCCACCCGGTTTCTACCTCAACTCTCCACCCGCCTGTTACACATCCTCATAGCCGCTTATCTCCCATTCCTTGGCTTTCCATGGCTGTGGTTTTACTCGAGTTTATGCGCTCACCTCGTGCTCATCTGTCTACCCCGTTAGATGGAAAGCTCCTGCAGGCAGGGACTGTCTCAGTCACACTGTCCCCAGCACCTGTCTCAATGCCTGATGAGAAGCAGGCACTAACGAACAATTTACAGAACAAGTGAATGAACGGCAAACAAAAGCCAGTTTGTCTCAAGGAGCCTTTTCCCACATCTTGTCCATTAGGTGACATCCTGCATGGGGCAAGTGTCCCAAGGAACCAGTTTGGGCAGCTCTTGACCTGGAAACCTGGCCCACCTGCCTCACTGACCCGACGAGCTTACCTTGAGGAAGCGCCGGTAGCCCCGCACGGCCGTCTCAGGGAGCGGATGCGAGCGCAGGAAGCGCAGGTACAGGGGCCAAACACGGGAGTGCTGGGTGATGGGCAGCGCCCGGAGGGCACGGTCGAAAGTGCGGCGGGTGTGCGTGACGCGGCCCTGGTCCATCAGGAACTGGCAATAATCTAGCCACAGACGTGGCATCTGGAGGCGTGGGGAGAGGCAGGCCGGTCTGAGCCACCGGCATGGTGGCCTGGCCACAAAGACACATCAGGTGTCCCACAGCCAAGAACGCAGCAGGACCCAGAGCCCTCATTCCTCTTGGACCAAGTCTAGTTCAACTCCAAGTGCACAGAGGAAATAAGACTCAATCCTCTCTGGGTCATCCACCTCCATGGACTCTGAGCCCCACCTCCCACCCATCCCCTGGCCCAGCCCCCACCTTGTGCATGAACACAAAAGCCCTCTCGTGGCAGTTGTTGACATCTTCGTAGGCGGGGTCGGTCACGCAGCGATGTTTCACCTGCGCCCGGCGTGCCTTCAGGTATCGGTACCAGAGTTTGTAGCTGGAGGAGGTGGGGCAGGGGCAGACAGTATTGGTCAGCTTTCTGGACCCCCAGAACCCTCCGCCCTGCCCCAGGAGGCAGCTGCTGGGAAAAGGGGCCCGGGGAAGGGTGACAAGTCTCAGCACCGGCGGGATGGACCCGGAACATCAGGAAAGCTGTGCTGACTGGCCGGGGGATGTATGCTAGTGACGGACCACAAAAGCAATCACCTGGGACCTACTGGCCAGTCTCGTTACGACTAAACAAGGTGGGGTGGGGGCTGAGGCGGGCAGGGCAGATGGGAGTCGCTCCCACCTGCAGGGCAGCAGCTTCAGCGCCCGCTCATACAGCTGATTGAGCCTGGGCTTTGGGGCACCCTGTTTGAATTCGATGTAGCGCAGCCAGCATTTGACAGAGAACTGGTTCCGCATGATTTCCTCCTCATAGGGGAGGTCCTCTTCCTCCTGCCAGCCGGTGAATGGGGAGAAGAGAGACGCGCCCTCAGAGCCTCGCACAGCACCCCTCCACTCCAAACCCCAGACTTTCAGCCAGACCCCACTGTCCCCCACCGGCGCCAGGTCACCAGATCCCCAGATACCAGGACTCACACTTTTACCCCCCCAAATTCTACTGCCCACAATCTGATCCAGATCATCAGACTCCTCAGTCATAGGGGTCTAGAGCAGACACGAGACTACCCCCACACCCCCCGCCATCACTCTTTTGGCCTTTCTAATCAAGCTACCCACTTTCTGGCTCAGATCACCAGACTGCTTAGACACCAGGGCCCTGGTCCGATGCCAGTCCTCTGCCCTGAACACTAAGCCTTACTGCCTCACAACATGCCTCTTTCCAGACACCAGTACCTTCTGGCTCCTACTAGCCAGAGTCTAGCTCAACTCCACCCCAGAACTTGGGAGCTCAAACCTTATCTCAGAGAGAGATGCACCGTACGCCAAACCTTTAACTCTGGACACCAAGCATCTAGTAAAGACGTCAGGCCTCTACTCCAAACACCAAACCTTTGACTCTTCAGAATCCCACGGACTATGCCCTGACCAGCTCCACACGACCAGGTCTTTACTTCCGACTCCAGAGTTCTTCTAGCCCGGACACCAAGCCTTTATCCCAGAAACTATAACGCTCAGGACCAGACCTACGCCGTTACCCAGAACATCAAGCCTTTACCACAGAAACCAGGCCCCTGGCCAGGTCACCGTGCCTTTACTTCAGACATCAGGTCTCTCAAGATTTAGCTATGTCAATCTCCCTTCCTTCTTCCTCCCGCGCGCTCCCATTTCCGTCCCATGTCCGGAACGACAGGCCCTTAACCTCGACAGAAGCTCTTTACTCAAGCCACCAGGGTTCCAGCACCAGACCTTTACTCCTGACCAGCCTGGTCCGGACACCCCCATACGGCCTCTGGCCCGTTAAGGTCCCCCAGTCCTCGGGCCCACAGAGCTTTGGCCTAGATCGCCCTGGCTGCCAGGCCCCGATCCCCTGTGGCCTCCAGGCCCCGATGCCTCAACGCGGGCCACCCCGACCCTGCCGCGGACTCACGAAGACAAGGTCCGGCCGCTCGGGCCGCGAGAGTCGCGCCATCACCACCATCTTCCTGGCTCTCCAGGTACGGGTGAAAGTCGCGTTTTAATGACGTCTCCCCTTAAGGCCCGCCCACCCAAGCCAGACCCATTTTTCTATTGGCTGAACCCTTCCCAACCGCGCGGGCGCGTTGTTGACTTTTGCTCAGACAGCGCCAGCGACCGGAAGCAGAGAGAAGGCTCCTGAAGATGACGTTGTGCCGAAACTCCTAGACCAATCAGCTTCAGCGGTGGAGCCCGCGAACTCCCAATGAGCTGCTGTCTTGCTGGAGGGTTGGCTCTGGGCGGAAGCGGGTTTGTATCCTCGGAGGAGCGAGATGGGGGTGAAGCTGGAGGTGTTTCGGGTTAGTGAGCCCCGGAGCTGGTAGGCGGCTGGGCAGGGGGTTCTTTCTGGATCTGCGGAGGAGGCTCTGAAAAGGAGGAACTCCCCCAAAAAAGTTCCTGAGATTTGAGAGGGGTTTTCCCGGTTGGAAACCCAGAGAAGGGGACGCTGGGTTGGGGGGCATCTGGGAGGGCTGGGGCGAGGAGGGGCCTCCGAGAGGGATGATCTGGGGAGGGCGCCCCAAGAAGAAAGGCTCCAGACCCTGGGGGAGCTCTCGGGCTCGGGGTGGGTGGGTGAGTGATAGGGAGACTTCTATACTTAGAGCGGTAGATTCTGAAGAATGAGGCCTCCTGGATTTGGGGGTGCTCCTGGGATCTGACTCGCGGGGATAATGAGATCTCGAGGAGATGTCTTTGCTTGGAGTGAGAGCTCTTGGGCTCCTGGGACCGGTGTGTGTGTGCGCGCGCGTGTCTCTCTGAGAAGGAATCTCCCAGACTCGGAGGGAGCTTTCAGGAATAAGGTTTCTTGGCTTATGGGGACTAGACTTGAAGGTGTGTGGCTTCTGCACCCTTGGTGGGAGTTCTGGGGTTCTTGGGGGCCCCGAGGAGGCGCCCCTGGGTTCTACTGGAGGACCGTCCTCCAGGCTCTTGAGAAACCTCTGCACATTGGGGGAGGGGGAGTAATCCCTGTTTCTGCTCAGCCCCGCGCCCTGCCTTTCCAGATGACGCTGTACCTCACCTTCCCTGTGGCTATGTTCTGGATTGCCAATCAGGCCGAGTGGTTTGAGGACTATGTCATACAGCGCAAGGTGGGCACCCGGAGAGTGTTCCTGGGTTCATTCCAGGGGGAGGATATGAGGCAGTGTTCTGGGGACCGATGACTGCCTCCCATGAGCCAACTCTCCCTGGGTGTGGGGCTCTGGAGGCTCCTGGCTTGTGCCTCCAGCTCTGATTTTGTCCCCACAGAGAGAGCTGTGGCCACCTGAGAAGGAGGACCAGGTAAGTGACATACTCTTCCTCCCACCAGAGGGACGGAGGGGCCTTCCCTGTGGCCATGATGGACTTGAATGAAAACTTTACCCTCAGCCATCAGCAGAGAACTGAGAGCAGAGAGGCATATGGTTTCCTTATTGCCCTCTCCCTGAAAGATGAAGCTGACCCCACTTGGACCTTGGTTATAATTGGCACAGGGTTTCCAGTGTAGACACTGAACTCTGAAGCCATGGCCTGGGGAGTAGGGGGCAAGGTGGTGGGAGGGGGGGTGCAGGCCCTGAGGTGTGTGCCCCCCTCCTTCCTTCCCATCCCACCCACTTCCCCACCCCCAGCGCCAAGAGCTAGAAGAATTCAAAGAGAGGATACGGAAGCAGCGGGAGGAGAAGCTCCTTCGGGCTGCCCGGCAGAGCTCCTGAGCCTCCAAGTGCCTGAGCCCAGCCCCTCCACCCACCAAATAACACACACACGGTTCCTCGTTGTCCATGGAAGTGTTTTATTGTCTGCTTTCGGGGGCCGAGTGGGGCCCAGGACGATTCAGGCCCTCAGGGGGCTTGTGTCTGGGGTTGGGGGCTGCTGTTCCGACGGAAGCTGAGAGCAGACGGGTCCTGAGGGGTGAGGAGGGGCTGGGGGCTGAGGGTCCCCGCTCGTTTCTGCACTCCGTCCTGTGGATGAAGAGGGGTCAGCCAGAGGGAGGGACCAAGGGCAGTGCCGGCCAGAGGTGACACAGACATTGGAGGAAGGTAGCTGGTGGCAACCCGTGTGCTGCCTCCTGCCATCGGTCCCACCATCCCCAAACTTCTGTAGACCTGCGTTACTCAACATTTAGGGTGGTATTTGGGGGTGAGGCGGTGGCTCTTGGGCATCTCACTGAGGTCTTGATCAGAACCCAAGCTGTGCATGAGTACGTGTGACGCGGACACACGTGAGTGTATGGATGTGTGTCCTGTGCCCTCCTACCTGGGGGTGTCTTCCCAGACAGGAAGTCTTTCTCCCTGGCCTCCCCTAAACCCTCAGACTTGGGAGCAGGAGCCATGAATTCAGCCACGGCTCTGACATTAACACGCCCCCTGCATGACCTTGAACCCCTCTCGGCCCTGTCTGGGTTTTCTTCCTCCCATCTGAAGGCCAGTATGGGACTGGCCAGGGCCCTGTGACTGGCAGGGACAAAGACGGGGCCCTCCTCCCAGGCACTCATCTTCAGGGCAGATGATGGCCAGAGGTGGGGGTGGGGCCCCATTCACTTGTGGCTGGGAGTGGGAGGCGAGCTCAGCCTGGCTGGTCTCTCCTCAGCCCCAACAGAATATCACCTACCTTGGGGCCCACGGGCTGGAAACCAGGCAGGGCGCTGACTGTCACGCGCTGGTCATCCATACGACGGCCCTGGGTACTGGCTAGCATGTCCATGAGACTGTCCATCTCAGGTGGGGGGCCGCTCTCTGCATGGAGCGGAGGCACATGGGGATGAACACATATGCAGACTCCTGGGGACACAGCCCCGCTCTTCACTGCCACTCACACCCCCAGGATGCACACTTGTCTCTCCCTCCACCCCCTGTACCCCGAAACCCACAGGCATCTGTGTCCCCAGTTGCCTGCGCACTTTCTCAGACAACCTCTTGCCCACAGTTCCCCGAGATGGCCACTCGCCACGCACCCTGTCCCGTTCACACCCCCAGACAGCACAGCCACTCCCAGGCACCCCGCTGCCCACTCTCACGGCTCTCGGAGGTCTGGCTTGGCCCTGCCTGCAGCGAGCAGCGCTGTTCCTCCATCCGGTCACCCTGCACGTGGCTCAGAAGATTGAAGAAGCCCTCCTGGTCTGGGGAGCCCGCCTGGGGACAAACACACTCTGTCCAGCCAGGCTCTCAGCTCGGGAGCCCCGTACCTCCCGTCCTGTCCAGCCAGCTCCCACCCTGACTCCAGAGCCTGCCCTGCCCTCCTCTGCGCTCACCATAGTCCCCGCTGCCGTGCTGCTTGGCAGAGCTTCTCCGAATGAGACATGAGTCTCCTCAGTCTCGGCCCCCACCCCAGGGGCCCGGCCAGCAGTGCCATTTCACGTGGTGCTGCCTCAAGGGAGAGCTGCTGGGCTAACATCCCGCCGTCCTAGATTGGGGCCTGACTGGAGGGTGGCCTGGGGGCTGGGACACAAGCCAGGGAAACAGTCCAGGGGCCGCCCCTAAATCCCATCATCCCCCACCTCACAAGGGTCAGTTCTGAGAGCCCTGACCTCTGCCTTGGCGTACGCTCAGGCCCTCGGACCCTCCTGCCCACCAGCACCTCCTTGGGCAACAACTGGGTCAGGGGTCCCAGGAGACTCGCTCGCTAATTAGGTGCCCTACAAACTAATTAGTCTTGTCATTCAGGGGCCCTTGAGTTGGGGGTGGGGGGGGGCAGGCCTTGCTTACCTTGACACAGGGGGCCAAACCCCCATCCTCTTTCTCTTCCTGGTCCATCATTGTCCCTGCTCCCCTCCCCTGGGCCCCGTCCAGTTCTCTGCTGGCCTCTGCCCCGGCCCCGTGCCAGAGAAGGCTTTTTAAAAGACTGGGATGTGGGGGGAGTGGATACCCGGCCCCAAATCCCCAGCTCATGCCCCATCTGCTCCCACCCAGGCTTAAGCCCCATAAAGATGATCCAGATAATTGCTTTTGCAGCACAATGCTGGGGCTGCTGGAGGAGTGGGAGGCAAGGTGACCTGAGTTTGGACTTTGCTGGCCCAGCACAACTCGCTGGGCCCCAAGAACTCTCAGGTGGGGTGCAGTAGTGGGCCAGAACAGTGTCCCCACAGTGGGGAGCAGGGACTGGCTGGGCCTCATTGGAGAGGGCAGCCAACGGCAGCTGGGGCGGGGTCTTCTGCTCACCAGTGGGAAGCGGCGCAGCCGCCCAGCTTGCCCACCAGCACCTGGGGCCTCACCCTGTTGGAAAGGCGGTTGCCATCTGCAGGTGGTGGGGGAAGAGGGAGCTGGACCCGAGGACCCCTGAGGCACCACTGGCCAGCCCAGCTCCATCTCTCTCTGCTGGCCACTCCTCCCTCCCTCACTGGCCCTGGCCCTGGTTGCCCCCCACGGACCCCAAAACAAGAAGGTCTGGGCACTCCTGTCTCTTTGACACCAATGCCAAATTGAGCATTGATCCTTCACCCCGGGAGGAAAGCCCCGCCCCCTCCCCGAGCAGCTACGGCTGCCCCTCAGTGCCCTGGGAGAGGATGCCACTGGCAGGACCCCACCTACACCCCATCCCCTCCCCAAGATGCCTTTCTGGAAAGCAGTTGACATTTCTTCTTGGAATAAACCGGCTGCACTGTCACCACCCCGGGCCAAGCACAAAGCTTGGTCCCCCTCCCCAGGCTGCCCTTCCCCACTCAGGGGCCCACGTTCACTCGCTCTCCGCAGCCCCAAGTCATCGATGTCGAGGTGATGTCCTGCTCCTCCACGGCTGTCTTCATTTCCCGGGGCTGCCTTAACAAAGTGTTACCAACCGGATGGCTTAGAGCAACAGACATTTATTGTCATACCCTTCTGGAGGTCTGAAGGCTGAAATCGAGCTGTCATAAGATGTGGATACCAGTCATATTGCATTAGAGACACCTTACTCTAGTGTGACCTCATCTCAACTGATTACATCTGCAACGACCCTATATCCAAATAAGGTCACATTCTGAGGTACTAGGGGTTGGGATTCCAACATACTTTGGGGGGAAGAGGCTCAGGACACCATTCAGCCCTTAACAGCGGAAGCCCCTGGTCACCCTCACCAAGTAGAGTGCGGAGTGGCACGCCTACAGACTCTCCCCTCCCAGGGTGAGAAGCTACAGGTGGTCCCGCTTCCTCACCGTGTCTCCCAGCGCCTCCCTCCACCCCTGCAATCCATCCTCCCCGCCAGGAGCTGCAGGGGTCCTCTCCTTCCCCTGCTCAGGACTCATTCTTGGCCCCCCATTGTCCTCAGGGGAAATCCCAAACATCGTGGGGTAATAGGAATGTTCTAAAATTGACTGGTGACGGATGCACAACTTGGAATATGGTAGACGCCGTTGAATTGTACCCTCTCAGTGGGTGAATTGTATGGTATGTGAATTATATCTTCGTAAAGCTGTTAAAGAGAGAGATTTGCCTGGGGACGTTTTAGCCCTGACCGTCCTGTGTCCTGGGACCCTCTCAGTCCCAGGCAGATCAGACTGGGTTGGTCCTACCTTGTCTTTCTGAAGAAGGCTGGCCTTTGCAGCCCCTCCAACCTCACCTCCTGCCCGACCCTCCTTCCCTGGCCTCACCGCACTCCTGCCACTCCACACTCATCCCTGCTTTTCGCCGGGATCGCTGCCTGGCTGCTCCTTGATGTCATTCAAGGGTAAGTCTGAAGGCCACTCCCTCAGGGAGGCCCTCTGGTACCACCCCCAATAGGGCCCCGCCCCCCAACCACGTGATGCTTGCTCTCACATCACCGTTTATTTCCTGGAGGGTGGATTTGATCATTTTCCATCCCCTCCTTCCCCATTCAACTCTGCCACATGCAGGCCTTCTGGTCCTACTCACTGTTGTCTGTCCCACGTAAGTGGCGGAGGGGCTGGCACCTGGCTGACTCTTAATAAACATGGCCAAATGAAGGCACCAGCTCAGGACCGAATCAGGTCAGGACTCTGCATTCACACACGTGCATCACACTTTAAATCCGGGCCCTTGGGGGCCGGCCCGGTGGCGCAGCGGTTAAGTTCGCACGTTCTGCTTCGGTGGCCCGGGGTTCATCGGTTTGGATCCCGGATGCGGACATGGCACCACTTGGCAAAAGCCATGCTGTGGTAGGCACCTGTCCCATGTATAAAGTAGAGGAAGGTGGCATGGATGTTAGCTTAGGGCCAGTCTTCCTCAGCAAAAAGAGGAAGATTAACAGTAGTTAGATCAGGGCCAATCTTCCTCAAAAAAATAAATAAATAAAAATAAATAAATCCGGGCCTTCACTTGTATGGGTGCTACTGGACTGTGCCCTGTATGTGACAAGGTGCCAGCCCCTCGCTGGCACACTGCTGGAGCAGGCCCTGAAATTTCCAATCGAGTGTGAATCGAAATGTGTGCGTGAATGTGCAAGCGGTTGAGCCTGCCACTAAACCCACGTGTGAATCAGCCTACGAATGTGATTGTTGCTTGTGTGGGGGTGGCTGCACCCGGTGAGCACAAGGCTGTGACAAGCATTCCTCCTGGGATGGACTCCTGGTTCAAATCCCAGTAGGCCTGCTCATCATGTGGCCTTGGACGAGAGTCCCGCTGAGCCGAGGTTTCATTTTTTATACCGCATTCCCTGTCAAGGTCTCTAGGAGGATGCAGTGAAAATCTGGCACACACGGTGCTGGTTTAGCTCCAACCACGCCTCCACGCCTCCTCTTAAATTTATCAAATGTTGCCCGAGCCTGTTGCTGCTGCTCAACTCGGGGGACACAGACGGTAAGTGGGTCACAGAGGTGTGGCCACCGTGCTCCGGGTCGGCACACAGCATCCCTCAGCCACGGAGAAACTTCTAGCAGGGTGGTGGCTGTGCCTGGGGAAGATGAGGGGGTCATCATTGCCCTGTGATCCCACTTTCTCGCTGCACACAAGCAGAGGAAGTGTGTCTGAGCCCACGTCTGTGAGCGTGTCGTCGGGGCGCGCCCCTCCAGGGACTCCGGCCCGGTCTGCAGGGACGCATCCGCCCGTCCGCTCTTCGAGGGACCGATCTTCATCTCCGTACACCAACGGGGGGTGGGGCCAGGTGCGTAGGGGCGGGGCCAGGTACACAGGGGCGGGGCCCGCGTGGAGGACGCACGAGGCCACGCCCCCACCTTGGGACAGACCCGGAAGCGGCGGTGGCGGTGGCCCTGGGGGAAGATGGCGCCCTCGGGGCTGAAGGCGGTGGTGGGGGAGAGTGAGTGCCGCCCGCGCCGGGCTCTGGCGTCCCCTGGGGGGCGAGGGCCGGGGGCGCACGGACTCTGGGACCCCGGCGGGAGGGAGCTGGGGGCCGGGCGGGGCGTCCGTGGAGAACCTGACGCTCGAGGGGGCGGGCGGGGACTTGGTCCCAGCTGGACGTCCCGGCTCTCCGGTGCCGGAGCGGAACGAAGTTGGGAGACTGGACCGCGGGGACCCAAGGGGATCAGGCTCGGGGTGGCAAGCGCGGGGACTCGGACTCCTAGGACCCCTACGGTGCCGGCGGGACGAGGGCACGGTGGACACTCAGGAGTCTCAGCCGGGCAAAGTCCGGGGCTGGACTCTTGGGGCCCCATGGTGTGGACCAGGGTCGGGCTGGGGGCGCTGCTCAGTGACCCCAGGTGGTGTGACTGCTCAGAGGGTGTGTCTAGGCCCCCCTTCCAGGTCCAGGGGTGGGGGACGACTTCCTCCTGCCCAGTCCCCAAGAGCCCCACGCAACGTGAGGGCTCAGGTCCTTGCGGGTGGGGTAGCGGACTCCCCCTCCCCCGCCTCGGGTGGTTCCGGCCTCAGCGGCTCCTTCCGCCCTGGCGGTCCTGATAACAGTGGACAGGACACTCTGGCTGGGCGGGGCCACCCGACCCTTCTTCCCTCCTCCTTTCACTGGGCAGGGCAGAGTGTGGCCCAAACCCTCAGCACCCCAACTAACGAAGGAGCCTCCTACACAAGGGTTGACGGGGGAGAAGGGAAAGCCACTGATTCCATTTTACAGATGGGGAAACTGAGGCTGGAGGCTGGGTGATGGGAGGACCGCAGCAAGGCACGCCTCTGAGCAGGGAACCAGGGGAAACTGATGGAGGAGGATTAGGGGTGGGGAGGTTCTGGTTGAAACCTCCAGAAAGCCAGGAGAACTTGAGGTACCCGATGGGGGAGCCGAGAGCCCAGCTCTGGAGGCGGGTAGACATGTATTGGAGCCCTGGCTTTGCAGTTACTCGTTCATCTAAAACATGCTTATCCAGTGACCACTTATGCCCTAGGTACTCGGCCACTTAGGCGCTGAGGGTGCTTAGGCTGGTCACTTGTCCTCTCTGAACTTCAGTTTCCCTGTCTGTAAATTGGGGGTGACACCAGGAGCTACCTCGCAGGCTTGCGGGGAGGAGTAAAGAGTTAGAATAGAGGTCCAGTTAAAGACCCAGAAGATTTGAGGTTGTGATGGGGTCAGAGGACCCAGCATCCTGAGCCTACTGCTCCCTTCCCTGCAGAAATTCTGAGTGGAGTCATTCGGAGCGTCAAAAAGGATGGGGAGTGGAAGGTAGGGGTGAAGCAGAATGCCTTGTCCAAACCCACGTGGCAGCCCTGAATGTGGGACCCCCTCGAACTCCCTGAGGAGGCTGCCAGCCCACAGGGTGGATGGGTAGGCGGGTCTGGGATATGGGGGTGGGGGGTGGGGTCCTGGGTTCTCTCCTCCAGCTAGTTCTTGAAACTGTCAGTCCTTGCCCACTGCCCCAGCCCCTCCTCGGGGGCACCTACGGCCTCTCCTGCCCACTTGTCTGTCGGTCCATCCGTCCATCCATGCATCAGGTTCTCATCGTGGACCACCCGAGCATGCGCATCTTGTCGTCCTGCTGCAAGATGTCAGACATCCTGGCTGAGGGCATCACCAGTGAGTGGACACCCCTACCCCATGCTCCCCAGATGGGACCTGAATGTGAGATCCCCTCAAATTGGCCAGAACTCCCAAGTACCAGTTCCCCGCATAGACAACCCCAAGCATGTGACCCTCCCCTCCCAAGTATGTTCCCCAAATGGGCATCCTAAGAGTGGGAGCCTGTGATGGGCAGACCTCCCATGCAGGACTCCCCAGCTGCAACCCCTAAGGGGTCAGCCTCCCAGACTTTGCCATCCCTGTATGTGGAACCCCGTGTAGGACCCCCAGAATGAACTCAGGGTGAGGCCCCAGAATGCACAGCTTTCTATGGGAGGCCCCCAGGAGGTGTGACTGTGACCCCAAATCTGCAGAACCCTGCCCACATGGCTGTTAGCTGTGTGGCCTGTGGATGTGCTCCTCTGGCCTAGGCCATTCAGGGATTGCAGCCCCCCAGCATCTGACCCTGCACCCCAGGTGTCCACCCGTGTTCCCCAGTGCCACCCACATGGGTCCCTTCCTTTTCCTACTAGTTGTTGAAGACATCAACAAACGGCGAGAACCCATCCCCAGCCTGGAGGCCATTTATTTGCTGAGTCCCACGGAGAAGGTGCCTCTGTGAGCGAGTGTGTGTGTGCCTGCATGTTTGCGCGCGTGCCTCTGGGCCTGTCTGCATGTGTATGTGGCGGGGGACAGACAGGCTGAGAGGCCAGGCCAGAGGATGGATGGGACTGAGAGCCGTCTGCATTCCCCAGTCCGTGCAGGCTCTGATTGCAGACTTCCGGGGCACCCCGACCTTCACGTACAAAGCAGCCCATGTCTTTTTCACCGACAGTGAGTGAGGAGAGCCGGGGAGCGTGGGGGGTCAGGGCGTGCGGCTGCTCTGGCCTGATGCCCCCTCTTGCCCACCCCAGCCTGCCCTGAGCACCTGTTCAATGAGCTGGGCCGCTCCCGCCTGGCAAAGGTGGTGAAGACGTTGAAAGAGATCCACCTTGCCTTCCTCCCCTATGAGGCCCAGGTACAGTCCAGCCTAGTCCTGGGCAGGGGGTGGGGGACCGTGACCAAATGTCCCAGGTCAGAAACAGACACTGAGACCCATAAAGGGGACACTGAGTCAGAAAGGAGAGAAGCTAGCACAGAATGAGCTCTTACCACTGTGGGCACCTGGGCTTCTGTTCCCCTGGGGACCTGCAGGGGGCAGTGTAGAGCCCCCTCAGCGTTGTCCCGCCCAGGGGGAGGGGGTTGGGGTATTTCTCTACCTCTTCCTCCAGGCGTTGGTTAGGGGCTGCCCAGGCCTGGGGTGGGGTGGGGGGGTGTAACAGGCCCCAGAAACCTGGAAGGGGAAGCCCCCCAAGGGAGCGGCAGGTGCTGGCAGCTGGAGTCAGGCAAGTGTGTACCTCTTGGCACTGTGTCTCCCCAGGTTTTCTCCCTGGATGCCCCCCACAGCACCTACAACCTCTACTGCCCCTTCCGGGCGGGGGAGCGGGCGCGGCAGCTCGAGGCGCTGGCCCAGCAGATCGCCACACTCTGCGCCACGCTGCAGGAGTACCCGGCCATCCGCTACCGCAAGTGGGGACCCCACCCCCGTGCCGTCCCCTGACCTTGACCCCCTCCTGCATCCAACCTTTAATCTCTCTTCTGACCCCAGCCCCGGTCTTCACCCTGGTCCCTGACTCCCATCCCTGACCCCATCCTTGACCCCTAGTCTGTGCCTGGCCCTCCCTGACCCCCTGCCCTGAGGCCCCTGTGTCTGCCCACCTCACCCCCAGGGGCCCAGAGGACACAGCCCAGCTGGCCCATGCCGTCCTAGCCAAGCTGAATGCCTTCAAAGCAGACACCCCCAGTCTGGGCGAGGTGAGGGGGCCTGCTGGGGGGTTGAGGGGTGAGGCCCCAGCCACAGCCAGGGTCAGTGTCCTCATCCCTGCCCATTCCCCATCCCACCCCCCAGGGCCCTGAAAAAACGCGCTCACAGCTGCTAATCATGGACCGGGCAGCCGACCCCGTGTCGCCCCTGCTGCATGAGCTCACATTCCAGGCCATGGCCTATGACTTGCTGGACATCGAGCAGGACATGTACAGGTGGGCGGACCCCTGAACCCGCCCCTGACCATCTCCATGGACCTGGGTCCCTGGTCCTCAGCTAGTGCTCCCAACCCTCCTGTCCCCACCGCCTGCAGGTATGAGACCACAGGGCTGAGCGAGGCCCGTGAGAAGGCCGTGCTACTGGACGAGGACGATGATCTGTGGATAGAGCTGCGGCACATGCACATTGCGGATGTGTCCAAGTGCGTGCACATGGTGGGAGGTGGGTGGGAGCCACTCTGCACCGGTCCCCACCTGAATCCCCCTCTGCCATTGTGGCCTTCGGTTCTGGGTGAGCCACCCGTCCACAAGCCATACCCCTCAGCCGGACTCCCGGGTGTGTCCCCAGTGTGTGCTTGCACGTGGCCTGGTACAGGGACGTGTGTCCCCCGGCTCCCATCCCCCGGCCGTGTGACCCCCACTGCCTTCAGATTCTAGTTTTGGCACCAGCCCCCCAACCTCACCTCTGCCCGTCCTCCCCACCAGGAAGGTCACAGAGCTTCTGAAGACGTTTTGCGAGAGCAAGAGGATGACCACCGACAAGGTAGGGGGCGGGCCTGCATCAGGATGGGCAGCCTGGGAGGAAAGCCCCCACGCCTCCAGAGCAGGGCCCAGGCTCAGCCTGGATCCGGAGCCTGGAGTGGGACCTCAGGTGGGCAGGGCCTGGCCTCACGCCTGCCCTGTCGCCAGGCCAACATCAAAGACCTGTCCCACATCCTGAAAAAGATGCCGCAGTACCAAAAGGAGCTGAACAAGGTGAGTGCGGCCGGGGAACCTGGCCTCCCCTCCTTGCTCTCTTGCTCTCAGCCTTGACTCAGTCTCTGTTCCCCCAACTCCCACCCCCACCCCACAGTATTCTACGCACCTGCATTTAGCCGATGACTGCATGAAGCGCTTCAAGGGTTCCGTGGAAAAGCTGTGCAGTGTGGAGCAGGTGAGGGTGGCCTGGGACTGGTGTGGGACTTTGTGAGGGGCGTGGTCTTGGAGAGGCGTGGCCTGTGTGAGGGGCGGGGCCTGTGGACAGGAGGTTAGGACTGAGGGGGCGGGGCCGTGGAGAGGTGTGGCTTGTGAGGGGCCGGGCCTGTTGGTAGACAGGGCTGGAAGCTTCCAAGGCCCGGTAGTAGGGTAAAGCAGAGCCCAAAGGTCTTGTCAAGGACCTTGGGGATGTCCCTGCCCTGCCCCCTCCCCCCACGTACTGTCTGACCCCCACACCCCACAGGACTTGGCCATGGGCTCGGACGCAGAGGGCGAGAAGATCAAGGACGCCATGAAGCTGATCGTGCCCGTGCTACTGGACACGGCGGTGCCAGCCTATGACAAGATCCGGGTCTTGTTGCTCTACATCCTTCTACGGAATGGTGGGTGTGGGGCCTGGGGGGCCTCCGGATACCCCCATTCACCAGAGTCTCCAGTGATCCTGGGAATGGCTTAACCCCACAGTGCCTCTGTCCTTGGCATGCCCCTACTTCTCATGCATGCCAGCCCCCACAGATACCTCTCTGGACTGTGGGACCCCCCCCCATTGCCCTGGGGGACCCCTCATTGATATAAGGGCTCCACTGACATACATGCCCCAAATCTATGACGCCTCCAAACTTAATTTCCTCAACTAACTCCAGAGGATCCCCCAGTGTACCCGCTCTGGGCTCACCATCCAGAATTCCAGCATCACGACACCCCTCACACTAGCCCCGGTGGCTCTCTCGGTCCTGAGGACCTCCCACCTGCAGGATACTCCCATCACAGCTGGGACCTCCTGACGGCACTCTCAACCCCCTTAACCCAGGAACCCATATGGCCACTTCCTGGTCCCCCCCATCTCCCCTATGAGAATCCCACCCACCAAGCCTGCCCCTCCCCCCCATCCAGGTGTGAGCGAGGAGAACCTGGCCAAGCTGATCCAGCACGCCAACGTGCAGGCGCACAGCAGCCTCATCCGGAACCTGGAGCAGCTGGGGGGCACCATCACCAACACTGGGGTATGCTGGGAGCAGGCTGGAGGGTCAGAGACAGGGCAGAAGGCAAATGTGGGGGTGGGGCGGTTTTTGGGGTGGAGAGGGCGTTGAGTCAGAGCCTGGCCCTGTGGGGCGGAGGGCATGTCACAGGGCTGGGGTACACAGGGTGTGGTGTGGTTCTAGGGGGAGAGAAAGCACTGAGTGGGGTCTGGTGTGGGGACCAGGGGGCACCGGGCTGTCCCCAACCGTGGGTCACGCAAAAAGCAGAGGAGTGAGCCGTAGTCAGATCCCGGGTCCTGGTGGTGGTGCGGTGTGGGGAGTGTGGTCTGAGCCCCAGGGGCAGATCACGGCATCACCAGCATTGGGGTGCACAGCTGACGTGGGCTCCTAGACGTCTCCCAGGACCCCCCACCCACCCAACACAGACACACACACACACAGCAGCTTCTGGGCTCACCTCCCCTGACTCAGCCTCCACCGCTGAGGCACCCCTCTCGGGTCCCCCTTGTCCATCCCCCATCTCTCTCCGGGTCTGTCTGTCACTCTGTCCCCCACCTCTCGATTCCCTGTTTCTCTGTCCTCTCGTCTCTTTGTCTCACTGCCCTTGTATTTCTCCCTCTCTCCCTCTCTCCCTCTCTCGTTTCTCTCCCAGTCTCTCTCTCTTGTTCTCTGTTCCATTTCTCCATCTTTATCTGAAAACGCCACCCCACCAACCTGCAAGCCAGAGGAGCCCCCAGCTCCAGCTGTGACCCCCCACCTTCCCCCTAATTCCCCCACCGGCCCCGCCTGTAGGGCTGTGGGACCTCAAGCCGGCTGGGGCGGAGGGAGCGCTCCGAGCCTACCTATCAGCTGTCCCGCTGGACCCCGGTGATCAAAGACGTGATGGAGGTACTGCCGGTGCGGGGTGGGCACCGGGAGGCTGGGGGCTGGGGCCTGACCTCTGCCTGCCCCCTCCAGGTCCTGCCTGATGCAGGCAGTGGCTCAGCCCCCTTCATGCTAAGCCCCAGGGCTTAACGGAAAATCCCTCATTATGGGCATCCCCCGGCATCCGAGCCGCTCTGCCAGGGGGGTACCCCAAGTCCACACACGAGGAATTGGGATAGCAGAGGGCCCCCCTGCAGGGGAACCTCGTTTCCTCTCTACCCACCGACCTCTTCTTCCGTCCCCCTCTCTTCTCTTCGCCCTGCCCCCCACTGACCCCTGCCCATTGTGGGAGCCCAAAGCAGCAGCAGCAAAAAGAATCAGGTTGGGGGCCCAGCCTCCTGCCTGCAGTCCCTCTGAGGTCCCAGCAATCTTGGCACCCCATCCCCAGGGACCCTGGGGCCCAGACTCCGGGGTCCCCAAAGGGCTAGAGATGCAGATAATGGCTCCTATCTGCCAGGATCTTGGCCCCTGAACACAGCGGGTGGAGGGGGCTCCAGACTCTGGGCCCCATCACCCAGGGCTTCTCTCCTGAGCCTCCCTCTCTGGCCCCCAGGATGCTGTGGAGGACCGGCTGGACCGCAAGCTGTGGCCATTCGTGTCCGACCCCGCCCCCACGCCCAGCTCCCAGGCTGCTGTCAGGTGACGACCCGGGGACACGCCATGCCCCACGGCCCCCACCTCTGCACTCCCAGGCCCGTGTCAGGTGGCGGGGGAGGGGAGTCTCCTGGCCCCCTCACTGACCTCTGCCTGCCTCCCCTGCACAGTGCCCGTTTTGGCCACTGGCACAAGAACAAGGCGGGCGTGGAGGCACGGGCGGGGCCCAGGCTCATTATCTATGTCATGGGTGGCGTGGCGATGTCAGAGATGAGGGCCGCCTACGAGGTGACCCGGGCCACCGATGGCAAGTGGGAGGTGCTCATTGGTGAGTAGCCAGCACTGGGGTCCTCAGGGGGTTGGGCTGGACTCCTGGGTTTAGAAGGATAGGGGCTGACAGCTGGTCTCCTGGTCCCCAAAGCCTGGAGCCTCTGCAGGGCTAGTGTCTGGGGCCCCTGGGTGAGAGGACGTGGCTGGACACCTGGGTTCTGAGGGGTTTCTGAGCCCCCAGGGAAGGGTCACCTGGGGGCTGGATCCCTAGGTTTCTAAGGGGTCTAGACTTCTGAGTCCTCAGAGTCAGGGCCTGGTTTCCCGCAGCCCCTGGCTGGGGGTCCCGAGGTAGTGGCCCAGCTCCCGCCCGCCCCCCCCCCCCTTGCCCAGGCTCCTCACACATCCTTACCCCGACCCGCTTCCTGGATGACCTCAAGACGCTGGACCAGAAGCTGGAGAATATTGCCCTGCCCTGATCCTCCTGCCCCCACCCTGACCTGCCCCCCTCCCTTTCTAGAAAAATAAACTCCCTCCTTTTTTTCTGCCAGCCAGTGGCCACCTCGCTTTCTTTCCCAGGGATCTGTACTGGGCCAGCCTCCCGTGGGTCCCATTCCCAGACCTGGGCCTGAAGCCCCACCACACCCTATTGTCCTCCCAGAGGGCATCTGAAGCCTGTGTGCAGGTTATGAACTTGGGCTGTGGTTTGAACACTGGCTCCAAGGTGGACTAGCTGTAGGCTTTGGCCAACCCGCTGGGTGCCCCATCCCAAACGGAGGGGCCAGTAATGGCAGCTGCTTTGCAGAAGAGAGGAGATGGTGCCAGAAGGCAGACGGCCTGGGAGCATGACAGCAGCTGCTCGTCTCTTGTCCCTAGAGTTATCTTACCCACTCCAATGGGACTGTGAGTTGTATTATTAACAAGCAGAGCAGGCCCTGTGTTCCGGCCCTCCCCAGCCCCCAAGGACTGTCCCTTTGGGTCCTGGAGCCACACAAGGCCAGGAGTCTTCTCCAGCTCCTGGGATCAGAGTCTGCATTTGTACGAGGACGGGCACACAGCAAAGCATGCCTGGTCGCCACCCCAGAGAGTGAGCACTCTCCCTGTTCCTCCTCCTCCTCACCCCAGCAGGTTCAAAGGAGCTCCTAACTGCAGGACTTATCAGAGCCTTTACTGGGTGTCTCAGTCTGTTAGGGGTGCTGGAGCAAAGTGCCACATTTCAGGTGACTTAAACAGCAGAAATTTCTTTCCTCACAGTTCTGGAGGCTTGAAGTCCCAGATCGAGGTGTGGGCAGGGTTGGTTTCTTCTGAGCCCTCCCGCCTTGGCTTGTAGACAGACGGCCGTCTTCTCCTTGTGTCTTCACATGGTCTCCCCTCTGTGTGTGTCTGTGTCCTCATCTCCTCTTATGAGGACACCAGTCAGATTGGATCAGGGCCCACCCTAATGACCTCATTGTAACTTAATTATCTTTTAAAAAACTATCTCCAAATGCAGCCACATTCTGAGGTCTTGGGGGTTAGAGCTTCAGCATGTGACTTTGGGGGACACCATTCAGCCCCTAACACTCAGCTAGAATGAGAGGTGAGTCTCACAGCATGAATAAGACAGACGAGGACCCTACTCTCTGGGGCACAGACCCACAGCCAGGCAGACAATCCTCAGCAGAGGGGGCTGCAGGAGCCCAAGACACCCTAATCCACCATGTCTGGGGGCAATCAGGGAAAGCTTCCTGGAGGAGAAGTCCGAGTTGAGAAAGAAAATGAAGAAGAGTCAGGGAAGGGAGGAGAGGGTGCGGTGGAGGCAAAGAAGAGAGTGGACTGGAGCCAGAGGGAAAGGTATTGAGGGGCGACAAGATCGGGGAGCCACAAAGGCCCTCAAAGCCAGTGAGGATTCCGCTCCGCTGAGGCCATGGGAAACCACAGGAGGGATCTGAGCAGGGGCAGGTGGGGGTCCGAGTCTAATGCTGGCGATGAGGCTCTGCTGGGAGGGGCCCTGAGTGCATACCACCCCCGCCCCTCAGTGGAGCACTGCCTGTTTCCATTCTGTCACCTCTGGGGAGGTGGCCCATCCAAGGCTGGGACCAGGGCCCCGAGACCCTCCTTCCCCGCCCACTGAGGACTCCGGCCTGATTTTGAGTTCCCCTGTCCTGAGAATTCCGGGCAATCTGAAGGATACTCTTCCCGGAAAAAACGGCACACGCAGTTTTGCAGGTGGGGGAGGCGCCAACCCCTCTGATGCAGCCCTTCCGGGATTTACGGGGCCCTCCCAGCAGGGCCGAGAGATGGGCGTGCAAGGTTGTCGAGCGGATGCGGCGCCGCAGAAGAAGGGGGTCGGCGCGGACCCCTGAGACGCCCTCTCCGGACGCAGGGCTCCCACCCATCCCCACCCCGGCCTCGACAGGGAACCCGTTGCGAGAGAGATGGTTTTAAAGTTGCGCGTTTCTGGGGCTGGCCCTGTGGCCGAGTGGTTAAGTTCGCGCGCTCCGCTGCAGGCGGCCCAGTGTTTCGTTGGTTCGAATCCTGGGTGCGGACATGGCACTGCTCATCAAACCATGCTGAGGCAGCGTCCCACATGCCACAACTAGGACCCACAACGAAGAATATACAACTATGTACTGGGGGGCTTTGGGGAGAAAAAAGAAAAAATAAAATCTTAAAAAAAAAAAAAAAAAAAATAAAGTTGCGCGTTTCCACTCGCCTCCCCGGGGCCCGCGGGTAGGGAAGCGCCGTGCGCGCCAGGGGGCGCCGGGGCCCGGTTTTCCGGTTTCTTTGATCTTTCGCGTCGGTCCCTGGAGCTTGGGCGCCCTAATTAGAGACGGCGGGGAAGTGGGTCGCGGGTGGCTCAGTGGTTCTCGGCGGGGACGACAGCGATGCCTAAACCGCCTGGGCCTCTGCCCCTTACGGATCCCCGGACGATGCTGCCATGTCTCCGTCTTAAGGACATTTGGTTCTGCAGATACTCGCGGGCCCCTATGGGCCACCGCAGCCGGCAGGATCCGGCCGTCACGGTGTCCCAGGCTTCGTGCCAAGCCCTCCACGCGCGCGACACAGAACCCTCCAAACCCGCCCATGAGAAGAACCAGCCTCCCTCCCCCCTCTCTGCGTCCTGCGGGGTCCCCTCCCCACCTCGGGGTCTCCATGATGTCTCCTCGCTACATTGATGGATCGTGCATTGGCGACGTGGGGAGGGGTGGTCCCCGCCGACTCGCCACATGAGGGGGCTTAGCAGCCATGGATGCTGCCACCTGGACCTATTCGCTCCTGAGAATTATCTGCAACTTTATCATTCCTTCTGCTGGAATTAGCTGGGGTTCTTCTCGAAAGAACCGTCCCTCTGCAGCCAGTTGGTTTGTACAGAAAGTAACCTCCTGATCCTTTTTTCAGTGTATCTCTTGCGGGCTCCCCAGAGCTCATCAGGGAGGCCTGGGGTGGGGACAGACCTCAGGGTCACTGGTGGTCGCACTATAAGCATATAGGAAACACCCAGGAATCACTGGCTGCCACATAATAAATATTAATAAATATTCATATACGCTGTAATCATTTATTATTAATATATTATTATGTAACATCATAACAGGGTCTGGCCCTGGGCTGGGGGGTGGTCCCCAGTGTGTGCAAAGAAGGAGGGCCCCACCGAGTAAGCAAAAAGGATTCTCCAAGCTAACATGAGTGCTTTGGAAGGTTGGAGGGCACCCCTGGGAGAAGCGAGCTCCGATGTCCTCGGGTCGGGAATGCCTTACGGGGGGCAGGGGGTGGTGTCTCCACCGGGGCTTCTCAAGAAGCATATCTCATCCATCTAATGGGAGGGAAAGGCTTGTGGTCTTGAACTTGCTCGACTTAAAAAAAAAAGTGAGGGTCCAGGGCGTGCTGGAGCTGCCGGTCGGGCCAGGAGGGGTGGAAGGGGGCAGAGAGAGAAGGGCTGGGGGCCTCCAGGGGAGGGGGCTTAGTGGCCCCGGGGCAGAAAAAGGAAGCGACCATGACTCCGTGAGCCCAGGAAAGCTCGTGGAAGTGAGAAAGTGAAGAGTGTGAGAGGTCAGCATCCCAGAAACCAGCATCCAGGAAGAAATGCAAGCTTCCTTTTTTTTTTATAAAGTTGCTCAAAATCTGAAAACACAAATTAACCAATAGCTGCTGCCAAGAACATTGTGAAAAGGCCCCTGGAATGAAGAAATGGCCTTGTGAGTGGGAAGGTTCCGCTCCTGAGGGGACAGAGACGGGGTCCCCAGTGCTGGGGTGCTGGGGAAGAGGAAGTCCTGGCCGGGCCCCCCCCCCCCATCTTGAGTGACCACAGTTCCCTTTGAGACCTCTCAGAATCTCAATCCCTGTTGGTGGCTGGGGAAATTCTGGAAAAGAATGATAAACAAAGGCAACATTTATGAAGTACTTTCTATATGCTGTGCCCCATTCTGTATAATCTACGCGGATTCACATAAAGGACTTGCTTAGTGAGATAAGGCAGATGGAGAAAGACAAACACCATGTGATCTCACTTCTATGTGGAATCTATCTGTCTCCCCCCCAGCTTTATTGAGATATAACTGGCATATAACATTGTGTGAGTTTCAAGTGTATAACATAATGTTTTTTTGTTTTTTTTTTTTTTTTTTTTTGGTGAGGAAGATTGGCCCTTAGCGAACATCTCTTGCCGATCTTCCTCTTTTTTTTTTCTCCGCAAAGCCCCACTACATAGTTGTATATCCTATTTGTATGTCTTTCTAGTTCTTCTATGTAGGATACTGCCACAGCATGGTTTAATGAGCAGCGTGTAGGTCCGTGCCCAGGATCCGAACCAGCAAACCCCAGGCCGCCGAACTGGAGCAGGAGAACTTAACCACTATGTCATCAGGCGCACCCCCTAACGTAATGACTTGATATATGCATATATTGCAAAATGATTCCCACAATAAGGTTAGTTAACACCTCCATCCCCTCACGTTGTTACCTTTTGTGTGTGTGCGTGGTGAGAACTTTGAAGATCTACTCTCTTAGCAACTTTCAAATACAGAGGACAGTATTAACTATAGTCACCATGCTGGACATCATGTCCCCAGAGCTTATTCATCTTGTAACCGGAAGTTGGTATCTTTTGATCAACATCCGACCCCAGCTCCTGGCAACTACCAATCTGTTCTCTGTTTCTATGAGTTTGGTTTTTTTTTTAAAGATTTATACGTGGAATCGAAAAAGCGCTGTACACCTTAAACTTACACAATTTCATATGTCAATTATACCTCAATAAAGCTGAGAAAAAAAGTCCTCAGTTAATCCTCCCCATGGCCCTGTGAGGTAGTCATTAAGAATGCTCCCATTTCACAGATGGAGACACTGAGGTTCAGAGGTGCTTAGCCACTTGCTCAAGGTCACACAGCTGGTAAGTGGCTGTGCTGGGACTCAATCCCAGGAAGGGGGCTGCAGCCGCCTCAAGCATAACCACCGCAGCATCCTTAAACCTCCTCAAGCATCTGCTTTTGTTGCTTGGGTGTGCTGGGCAGGAGAGGGAGGCAGGTATGGCAGGAAGGGGCAGGGGAGGCAGCTCATCCTGGGTGGACAGGGCCCCAAGAGTCGGGCTGGGTGGTGGTGGGGGGTCCACAGAACTGGTCCTGTTTCCCCTTATTTTGCCCTCCGCATGTCCCCCCTGGCCTGTGTCCCCCTCACCCCGTGGTATGGATCCGGGGGGAGCCTTGGTTAGAAGTAAGGACTACGTCATCGGACGAATCGGGGTCTGAAGTCTCCCTTTTGAAAATGAGGCAGCCTCGCCCGGCATCAGTCCTCCCATCTGTAACAGCGCACATGGCTCTTTCCGGAATTCTGGGAGGTGGTGCTCGGGGAGCACTGGCAAGGTGGCTGAGGCTGCCGGGAAGCTGTGGCCAGACGCTGCCCCGCCTCCAGTCCCTACACCATCCCTTTTTATTGACAGTTCCTCAGTTGGGGGGAGATGCAGGTTACCTCATAACCCCTCCCCCTCATTTCTTGATTGCTCCAGGTGAGTGGGGACATGGGGACCTTTTCTTTCGTAAACTTCTGCATTCTTTGAATTCCTTTTAAAATGGGGACATTTTAGTTCTGTCATTACTTTAAAGGCAAAGAGCGGTATGAATATTCTCAAAAGAAGGTCACCTTTTTCTTTTTTTATAAAGAAAAGCGGAGACAGTGGCTGTGACCATCTACAGACCCCGCCCCCCCAACACCACCCCCTCTGCCACACACTTCTTGGGGCTGAAATGTGCAGGTCCTAGAGCCAGACCACCCGGATTTAGATCCCAGCTCCTATACCAACTGGCTGTGTGACTCCAGGCAAGTCACCTAGCCTCTCTGGGCCTCAGTCTCTCCTTTTGTAAAGTGGAGACGGTAATCATATCTACCTGACTGGGTGGTGGCGATTAAATGAGATCATATGTGTAAATCGCTCAACACAGGGTTAAGTGTTCAACAATAGAGCAGACACGATCATGTCAGAACCGGCCAGGGAGCCCTGAAGGGGAAGATTGTAAGGAGGCAAGAGGCTCAAGGAGCCAGGGGAACATGGAAAGACGGGAGTGGGGCTCTGCAAAGGAGAATCTCAGAGAGTTAACGCTGGAAATCGCCGTCATTTTTACTACCCAACCTCAAGACTCTAGACGCTCCTTGCCCCAAGGCACAGTGTGGTCCCACTGGGTCCTGCTAGAGCCACTTCCTGTCCTCTCCCAGCCTTCGCTGCTGGCAGCTGCTCAGAATCCCCTTCTGCAAGGGTCCATCCCTCCGCCCCCCCCAACACACCCCTGACCCCCCAGGTCGGAAATGTTTACCTAAACCAGGCTGGGCTTTCCAGCTGTTGGTAAAGAAATCTAGCAGTGTTCTAACCGACAGGAAGCAAGCGTCAATGCTTCCTTTCTGATTTGGCAGGGGCACCTGTCATCGCAACATTGTCACCACGGCAACAAGTTATCATCTAGCGAGCAACCAATCAGAAGCGCAGGTTGCCTCTGCAGGTTAGTTTCACAGGAAGTGGCGACACTTGCCAGTCTCCCAAAGGATACAAGCCCCCTTTGTTCAAAATAACCCTTCAAGGACGGCATGTATATTAACAGAGAGGAGAACAAGCTGGTTACAGTTATGAATATTCACAAGGTTTGTAAAGCACAGGAAAACCAGTTGTGCCCGGCAGAAAAGTGCCCTCTTTGTGTGGCTTCGGGACACTGATTACTTTCAGATCTTTGGGAACCCCCTTTTTTTTCCAACTGTAATTTAAATTATAGACATTTGGCGGTGGTTACACAACTGTATGCATTTGTCAAAACGCGCAGAACTCACTTAAAAAGGGTGGGTTTTACTGTATGTAAATTACACTTGATTAAAAAGAAATACTTGGGAAAAACCAAACATTCACGCAGCAAGCAGGTATATACACTTGTCTAAATGCACCCAACGGAACACAGGATGGATGCATTTTATGGTATGGAAATTATACCTCAATAAAGTCGATTTAAAAAATTTTAAGTACATGATTGTCCTGTTGTACTTATGGAAGTTTACTAGATAGCATTAGATGCAAAATTGAGGCCACTGGAGCTCAGTTTTACTGGTAGAAATCAGGAGGAATCAACAGTTTTTTTTTTTTTTAGGGAGAATTATGGCACTACAGCTCTTTCCTGCTACTGAACTAAAGGTTTTCAAACTGAGGCCCCGGGGAACCCTAGGGGTTCCACACATGCCCTCTGCTTTTCACCCGACCTATAGTCAGGGGTGCCCACTTCCTCTGCACCCCTCAAAAGGTTTTATCTGAAAAGTCCTGAGACTGGAGTGGAAAGTCTGAGCTCTCAAAAAATGATTTTTGCCACCTGCCAAGCTACCTTGTGCCCAAGCTGTGTCTGGGGGTCTTCAAGAAAGGGAACCCATGGAATTCATTTATCCCAACCAGGCTATCTGCCTTCCCACCCCACGAGTTTTCTTTCAGTTCCTCAAAACTGGTGCACTCTGTCCTACCCCAGGACCTTGGGACATGCAGTGTCCCTCCATCCAGAATGCCTTCTCTGGCTTGTCCTCCTGGGTTACTCTTGTTCCAACTTCCGCTCAGCCATCCCTTCCTCCACAAAACCCTTCCTGGATTCCTCCAGTGGGGGCCCCTTTCTCATCAGTGTCTCCCACTCTCCAGGAAAACCCCATCCTCATTTCCAACAGCACTGATTAGCTGCATTTGGTTGTTTTGGTCCTTGTTAATAAGTGGATTTGTGTGGTCCGTTCCCTTTTGCTTGCCATTATGTTGGTGAGAATCATCCAGATTGTTGCATGGAGCAGTAACTGGTACATCGCTATTGATCAGGGGTGGGCAAAATTTTTTTTCTGGAAAAGGCCAGACAGCAAACACGCTCAGCTTTACGGGCCATCTGGTCTCTGTCACAACCACTCACCTCTGCCAAGGACACGCAGAAGCAGCCCCAGCCACTGTATGAAAAAGTGGGTGTGCCCGTGTTCCGAGAAAACTTTATTTATGGACCCTGGAATTTGAATTTCATATCCTTTTCATATGCCACTGAATATTACAGTTTTTTCCAATGATTCCAAAGAGTAAAAACTGGTGGTTCCTTAGAGTCAGACATAGAATCATCATTTGATCCAGCAAGTCCACGCTTGGGTATATACTCAAAAGAATCGAAAGCAGGGTCCCAAAGAGAGATGTGCACACCCATGTTCACAATAACCGAAAGGGGGAAACAACTCGATTGTCCATCACCGGATGAATGGATAAACAAAATGTGGTCCATCCGTACGATGAGTTATTATTCATCCTTAAAAGAGGAAGGAGGTTCTGACACATGCTATGACCCGGATGAACCTTGAGGACACCGTGCTCAGTGAAATAAAGCGTAAATGTTGTATGATTTTACAGCTTTGAGGTATGAATAGCCAAACTCATAGAAACAGAAAGTGGAATGGTGGGTGCCAGGGGCTGGAGAGGGGGGAATGGGGAGTCAGGGTTTACCGGGGACAGAGTCTCCATTTAAGATGATAAGCAAGTTCTGGAGATGGGTGCTGGGGATGGTGGCACCGCCATGTGAGTGTACTTGATGCCACTGACTGGCCGCTTCAAAATGGTAAATTTTACATTCTATGTATTTTACCACAATTGTAAAAATCCGTTTGTACTGGAAACAAAAATCCAAAGTGTAAAAGCCATTCTAAGCTCGTGGCTCATCCAAATATAGATGGTGGGCTGGATGTGGCCCACGGGCTATGGTTTGCCACCTTCTGTTGTAGATTGTTTCTTGAAGGAATAAACCCCGATTTTATTGATCCATTTTATTGCTGACGGGCATCTGGGTATGAACTGGGGTGCAATTCTCACCCAGGGACATTATTTTGGTTATGTTTGCATCCTCCACCCCTACAGGCAAATCATCCCCCAGGTACCACCTCCTGGTCCAGTCCCAGCCTCGATGTGGGAGAGCACGGCTCTTGAAAGGAGAGACTGTAGCAGAGAGGGGGGCAGGCTCCCTACCCGTGGGCCTCTGAAGTCTGCCCCACGGGCTTCCGCTTGGCCCCAGGTGTTGGCCACGGACTTATTAGCCAAGACAGGAAGCCTCACGTCCAGAGGCCTTAAAGAGGGAGATGTGGCAAGGGCGGGAAGTTCATGCCCAAGGTTTGGCCTGCTGAGTCCACCAAGAGGGTAAGTGACAGCTGCTCCTGGCCCTGCCTCGACCCCAGCCAGGGGACCCGGGGCAGAGCTGGGCGTCCAGCCCCGTCCTCCACAGGGACCCAGGACTCCAGATCCCACTTGCTCTGTGGCCCTGACCCGCCCCAGGATGGGAAGGGGCTGAGCCAGCTGTGGGTTCCCTCTCACAGCCCCTGCAGGATGAAGGCCCTCTCCGTCCTCCTCCTCCCCGCCCTGGGACTGCTGGTATGCGGTGAGACGCTGTGTCCCGTGGATGAAGCCATCAATGCGAAGATCGGGACTGGTATCACCTCGCTAAGTAAGGACCTTCACATTCAACCTGAGCACTCTTGACCTGGAGTGAAGAGCATCAGGCCAGCCCCAACCCCAACCCCAGCCGCAACCAAACCTCAAGTTCCAGCCTAACCCTAAGCAAACCTCAGCCTCAAACCCAACCTAACCCCAACCCAGCCCCACCTTTGAGCACAGCCCCAAACCCTCCTTCCTCTAAAACACTCAAGTCAAGACAGAATCCTGCGAGGTAGTGAGCAACCCACCACCTGGGCATTCCCCAGGGGAGTTTTCCTGACCCCATGCCTCCCTCCAACCCGCCAGGGCCTGGGCACCATGAGAATGGGGGAGGGACAGCTTGGTCTCACAGTGCACCCCTCCCTCCCTCCCGGCTCCAGTTCTTGGGGTAATAAGGCAAGTGAACCTGGACTGCAGGAGCATCAGTAACCGCGGGGACCTGGCCACCTGCCCCAGAGGTGAGTACAGAAGTCCACTGTCCAGGCTCTCACCTCTGTCCCCAATACCCTGGAACCACCTCCCCCCATGTCCAGCCTCTGTTTCTCTAGGATCCTGGACTCCAAGCCTGTGCTCCCCTAGACTCCTGGGCCGAACCCCCAGCCTGCTCCCTCCTCCCCATCTCTGGGACCCCATATCCCCAGGACACTGATGTCCAAGCCCCCAGTCCTCCGCAGCCCACACATCCGGCTCCCATTCTCTGGCATGGGAGCCTCCAGCCCCGTGGACCCCTACCCCTGCCCCGGGCCCAAGGGGATCAAGCTCCCACCCCCGACCCCCGCAGGCTTCGCAGTCACTGGCTGCACGTGTGGCTCCGCCTGCGGTTCGTGGGACGTGCGCGCCGAGACCACCTGCCACTGCCAGTGCGCGGGCATAGACTGGACCGGAGCGCGCTGCTGCCGCATGCAGATCGCCGCCTGAGGTCGCGCGTGCGCGGCGCGGGCCAGAGGGGTGGGGCCAGGCCTCGGGGGCGGGGCCAGGCTTCTGGGGGCGGGGCCAGGCACCGGGGGGGGGGGGGGGGCGGGGCTGGAAGTAAACCCTGAGAATATGATGGAAAAGATGTGGGCGCTGTGCTGTGTCTTTTGTGGGGTGTTGGGGGCTGAGCTGGCGTCTCCGAAAAGAGCGGGGCGCACAGACAGCGGAGGGAGGCGGGGAGGGGGGGGGTGACCGCGACTTTCTTCTGCGCCATCCCCTCTCCTCCCATGTCCCTTACCTCCACCTCTGAGAATGGGGCTTCAACTTCCTCTAATGCTACCCACACCCGAGATCCCGGCCTCCTTCAGGAAGGGACGTGAAGGTTACCTTTGAGCCGCCTTGATGGTCACCCTCGGGTCTCGGGCCTCCCGGGAAGTTGCTGGGTCGTTCTCCCCCACTTCCCACAAGGAGGCTTTATCCGGGGTCTGGCTCTGGACGGCACAGGGACCCCCTTCCCGCACCCCACATACGCTCCAGGGCCCCAAGCCTCCAGCAGCCCCAGGGCCAAGGTGCATCCCTGAATCATCTCTCAGCCCAGAGCCCTGAGCCCCCACGCCTCCCTACCCACTCGTGTCAAGGGACCCGCAAGCCGCAGGCAAAGCTGGGTTGTGGACAAGAAAGAATCTTCACAGGGGCCTACCTGAGGCCACGCGCCACAAGTTCACGTCTTCACACGTGCGGGAGCGGTTTCGCGTAGTTACAAGCTGCGGCACCCAGGGGCACGTGCGCCCTCGTGAACGCTCAGATATGGAAACTCAGGGCAGGGGACTTTGGTTGTTGGCGCGTGCCTGGTGCTTAGAAGACCACATAGTGAGAGGTCAGGAAATGTCTGTTGAATAAATAGCCACATACACACGTGGATACGCCACCTAGGTGCACACGCTACACGTACACATAGAGTTACACATGGCCATGTGCACACACAGTACACAACCCGGTTACATGGTCACGCAGAGACACTATGCCCACAGACACACACCTGGACACAGGAAGGCACCCCGAAGCACACACACATGCCCTTTGTGGGGGAGGGGGTCGGGGACACAGGGACACATAGATGCCCCAGAGAGACTCTCATGCTTCCAACATCAAGTCCCCATCTCAGCCTGGATGACACTGGTTCCAGTCTGGACTTTGCCCTTGAAGGCAAACCCCTAGCATCCCCCAACTCAGCTCCCTGGGGGCACAAATCAGGTGATTTAAGGTTTAGTTTCTCCCTGGGAATCCTAACCCGGGAGACTTAATATCCAGCCCTTGTGAGGGCTAATCTTCCTCAAGCAAAAAAAAAAAAAGAGAGAGAGGAAGATCGGCAACAGAGTTAGCTCAGGGCGAATCTTCTTCAGCAAAAAAAAACCCCCAAAATCAAGCCCCTGTGAGATGCAGACACAGACTTCAGAACACATGGTGCCCAATCTTAAAAGGGACCTCAGACTTAAATGTCACAGTTTCAGCAGCAGACTCCAGGGGCTGATGAACAGGTGTTAGGGTGGGGTCCTGTTGTTGGGGATGTTCTGGACTCCTCTCCCACTGCCACCCACTCCGTATGATGGCACAGCCCCTTGCCTGATCCCGGAGGCCATGAGCTGAGATCATGAACACTCTTGGGGCCTGTGGAGCCCACCCAGAACCCGACTCAGAGTTTTCCCTCCCAGGTCCTCCCTCCTTGCCCCACTGCGGCCATGGGGTTGGGGTGGGGCCACTGAGTCAGAAGTATGTCCAGGACCCCCTCTCTCTTCTTCATTGACGTAGAGGGGGGAGTCCTCCCTTGTCCCTAGACCCTGATGTTAATGCCTTTAACTCCAAGTTCCACTCAATTGTCCCCTGTTTCTGGACCCCACGAAGGGTCTTCTCAGAGCCCTCAGTTCCAACACAGTCATCCTCCTGTCCCAGGGTGCAGACGTAGAGATCATATCTTACTGCCTATGTGACCTTGGACAGGCAAGTCCCCTTCTTGAGCGTCTGTTTCCTCATTCATCAACAGCCCAGCCCCCTGTGGTAGCCAAGATTCTTCTAGTTGCAAGTGCCACAGACTCCACTGCAAGCTAACTTGAGCAAAAGTAAAAGGAAGTTTCTGGATTATGTAACGGAGAGGCCCAGGGTTAGAATAACAGACTCAGGTATGGCTGGATCCAGGGTCTCAAATTATGTCTCCAGGACCTGACTCCTTCTTCGGTCTGATTTCCTCAGTGCTGCCTTCATTCTCAAGCAGGTTCTCCCCTATCACAGGCCCTGGCTTACATCCTTCCAGCCTGACAGTGCCAGTGAAGGGAAAAAAGGAAAGAATGCCTTTTTTTTCCCCCCTGGTTAACCCAACAATCGTGCCAAGCTTGAGTTTCATTGGCTGAGTCTGGCTCATTTGCCCGCCCCAATGCCAAATCTTAGACCCTGATGGGCTGGGCCTGGATCCTAGGTCCATTCTAAACCAATTCCCGGTTTAAGGTTGGCTGGACTTGAGACATATTGTCTTTCTTACAGGAAAATCGAGACTATTACCCCATGAAAGTGGCTGGTCAGGAAACTTCACGGAGCCCTGTCAGGCCACAGTGACACGGTTGATGTGGGCTTCCGGTTTCGTGGCTCCCTTTTTCCCCCCTCTCTCCCCCACCGAAGTCGAGAGGGCTGGAGCCTGGTCTAAGCCCCGCCTGAGCCAGAGAAACGTGCAACGATAAAGCCCCGCCCCCTGCAGCCGTCCATCAGAGTAGAGTCAGCTCCCCATTGGTCCGTTTCCTCCGCGGCTGCTACATCAAAAGGCGGTCTAATGGCTCAATGGGGGAGAGAAGTTAGCATCGAATTACCACCAAATCGGTCTGCCTTGAGCTGACAAGATGAGCAATAACTGAGGAAACAAAATATTATCTTCACCAGATCTTGGGGACCATCCCAAAGTTATCTTGAATTAAATCACCTATTTTAAGCCTAAAACATACTTCCTGCACATAGAAAGTCTTTTACTTATTTTTTTTCCAAAGGGAGAAAACTGCAATTCTCTCGAAAAGCGCTGTCCAACGCGGCAGCCACCGAACACTTGAAATGTGGCCGAATTGAAACGCATCTTAAGTGTGAATACACATTTGATTTCAAAGACCTAATACCAACCCCCCCCCCCCAAAACAGGTTAAACATCTCAATTTTTAAATATCGTCTACATCCTAAAATGATAATATTTTGGGTATATTCTGTTAAATAAAATATATTATTAAAATGAATTTAGCCCGTCTCTTCTTATTTTTTCAAGGTGGCTGCTACAAAATGTTTCAACATGTGGTTCACATTATATTTCTTTGAGAAGGCACTGCTGTAAAGAGAAAATTCCCTATGCACTTTGTGTTATTTTTATCCCCAGTTTTCAAGGTCACATAGACACAAGGAGAGCATTAAGACACCCTCTAGATACCAGGAACTCCTGAATATGTATATTTCTCTAGGCATTAAGGATGTGAATGAGCGTGCGCTGTGTATACTGAGCAGATGGGTGACTCAGGGTGTTCGGGAGTGTGTGTGAGTCTGGGGAAGCGAGCAGATGTGTGGATGAGAGTGGGTGTGTTTCTGAGTGTTTCTCCGTCTGGGGTCTCCTGGTTGACGGGAAGCTGTACTTCCGGGATTGGGTCAAAGCCAGGGATGGGGGCACGTGTCTGGCCTTAGTCCCAGATGTGGGTGTGGAGTTCCAGTGGTTAGCCGGTTGCCTCACATCTGTTCCTTTCCTCCAGGGGATCTTGAAGAAGTAGAAAGTCTTGGGGTGGAGCTGAGGGGCGGGACCGGGGTAGGAGGGAGGAAGATGTGGGGGACCCCGGAATCCTGTCTTCAAGGCCGGCTGCCTCTACTCTGAGAGGTGGGACTCTGAGGTGTCACAGCCTCTCTCTTGAGAGCGAGAGAGGAGACGGGAGGATGAAGTCCATCCAGGTAGACACACACACACAGTGCTTCCTGTGAAGCTCCTGATCATCTTTTTTTTTAAACAAAAATTATTATTATTATTTTTAAGGTATGCTTTTTGGTGAGGAAGATTGGCCCTGAGCTAACATCTGTTGCCGATCTTCCTCTTTTTTTTTCCTCCCCAAAGCCCCAGCACATAGTTATATATCCTAGTTGTAAGTCATTCCAGTTCTATGTGGGATGTCACCACAGCGTGGCTTGATGAGTGCTGTGTAGGTCTGCTCCCAGGATCAGAACGAGAGAACCCCGGGGCTGCCAAAGTGGAGCACACAAGCTTAACCACTCGGCCATGAGGCCGGCCCCCTAAAAAAATTATTTTTATTGAGTATAATTGACATATAACATTGTGTAAGTTTAAGGTGTCCAACGTGTTGGTTTGATCATTTATATACTGCAATATGACGACCACTGTAGCATTAGCCAGCATCTCTGTTACAAGTTCCTAACTAATCTATTCTATCTCCATCGTCTATGGACCCTTCTTGGTCCTCCCTGAGACCAAGGGTCTCCTAAGTCCCATCTTGATCTGGAGGGGGGGGTGGGTGGGCGGTGAGGATGCTCCAGGGTGGGAGGGTCCTGGATCCCTGAAAAGAGGAGGCTGGCCTCTCCTTCCTCCCCACACCCCAACCCGGAGGTTTCCTCATCTGCCGCAACACCTTCCGGTGGGTGGGGATGTGTGTGGACAACTTGGTGCGCCATGGAGGCTGAGGAAATCTACGTGAACCGGGAGGTCAAGATGCAGGCGGCAGCCTTCAAAGAGAAACGGGGGGCCCCAGCCAATAAAGGTTAGGCACTTCGGGGGCGGGGAGGGAGGGGAGAGACCAAGAGGGAGAAGTTGAGCTGGGAGAGAGAAGAACCTGAACGTGGGGACCAGAGAACTCCTTCCCCTACCCAGAATGTGTGTGTGTAGATCTTAGCCCCCCCCCACATCTTATCTTTTACCTCCAGAAATTTCTTGTGTGCAGGGGTTTGGTGAACCAAGATCTCTGAGCTCCCCTCCACCCTCACCCCCGCCCCATAACTCCAGGCAGCTTTCCACAACCCCCCCTACTGACCCATCTACAGGTGCAGGTGACCCCAACTATGAAAATATTGTCTTGAACTTCAGAAACCGGGACCAGCCAAAGAGTGCCCATTCATTGCCTAAGAATCAGGGTAAGTAGTCAGTCACCAGCCCACATCCCACAGGCTTGGGAGGGGCATATGGGAGGGCACTGCAGGGATGAGGGGCAGCATGGTGTCAGGGTCAGTGGTGTGGGGTGTGGTGGCATCAAGGCTTGTGTGTGACAGCGGTGGGGGGCAGCTTTGCAGGTGGCAATGATGATGGTGGTGGTGATTGGGCTGGTGGAAGTGTTGGTGAAGGTTTGGGTGGTGGCGATGCGGAGTAGGTGACACTAAAGTGGATCAGGAAGGAATCACTGAGCGCTGATGAGGGTGCTGATGACGCCTGTTGATGGGGACAATGCTGGCAACAATGGGCATGGATACTGGTGGATGTTGGTGATGAGAGTGGTAAGGGGGGGCTTCATGGTCTGTCTGGTGATGGTGGTGGTCAGGGTGCATTTTGGTGGCAGTGTTGTTGATGGTCACAGCTGTTGATGGTACTGGGAAGAGAGGGTGTAGGTGACAGAGCCGTTGATGGCGTTCGAGTCAGTGCTGATGGTCCACGTGGCGGTGTTGGGCCCTGGAGGTCACTTGAGCTGCCTCTGCTCCAGTCCCCTCCCGGTCCAGGCCACTCTCGAAGTCTTCCCAGGTCCCCCACTGGTTACACACAGCCCTCCTGAGCCTGTACATTCTCCTCACTCTGGTCTGCATCATTCTCTTGGCCTTGATCCTGGTGAAGAGTGAGTGGGTTTGTTTTTTGTTGTTTTTGGTTTTTTGGTGGCAGGGCCAGGGGCTGGGGAAGGGCAGAGGGGTCCTCAGGAGCTGGGGGGGGGGGGCCCAGTGTTCCCACTCTCCCTTCCCCCACCCCTGCTCCCAGGACGGTAGAGCTGGGGCCCTTCAAGGGTTTTCATGCCTCTCCCCATGTCCTCAACAGATTTGGAGACAAGCCAGGAGCTGCTGCACTTGAAAAGAGAGCTCTCCAACGGTGAGGGGAGGACCTGGGGCAGGCCCAAGGGGGCGGGGTGGGGGTAGGGAGGGCAGTGGTGACATAGACATCTCCACTCCGCACCCTCAGTGTCCCTCTTGGTGCAACAGTGCCAGAAGGAACAGAAGCTGAGCAGGGAAGACATCCTGAAGAACATCACAGCGGTCAAGAAGAACATCAGCATGGTCCAGGACAAAGTCCAGCACGTGAATGACAATCTGAAGGACCTGTCAAAAGGTGCCTTTACAGACCTTCACCAGGCAAATCTATCTCCGTGCCCAGTGTCAGGCTGGGTGCTGGGGATCGTGGAGGGGACAGCAGGGGTCCCGCCCTCCCAGAGGGCAGGGTTGGGAGGGGTGATGGATATCACCCTCTGTGTAACTTAGAGGGTATTTAAATGCTGCTGGGAACCCCAAGTACACGGGCTCGGCAGCACCCCAGGCTGGATGTCACGCAGAGAGGTCTAATAAAGATGGCGGCCTGTCTGAGGCCCCACTTCAGCTTTTCCTTCCACGCCCCTAGATGTAAGTAACATCATGACGAACGTAAAGAAAATCTTTGGGGAGCTGGAGAAGCAGGCAAATAGTAAGTTGGGGCCATGGGAGGTGGGTGACTGGGGAGCCCCGGATTCGGCCCCAGTTTCTCTCCGAGGGGCGGGATCTGCCTGACGTCGGGTCCCCACCTGCTTCCCCCCAGAGCCCACACCTTGATCAATGACAAGACATCAAAGCCCTGGCTGCCACATGGAGGATGGGGCGGTGCCTTCCCTTGAAGATGGAAAATGGGGGCCCCAGCCCGGTCTGAACCTGTTCTTCATTCCCACATATAAAAAAATCACGTGTCATGGTGAATGCGTGTTGTCGAGTTGTGGAGTTGCGTGTGTGCCTGTGTGCGTGTGTAGGGGGGTTAGCATTTCACGGAGGGCGAGCATTTTGGTGCGTCCCACAGGAAGGGGTCATGGGTACATATTAAATGCAGGAGTCACAGCGAGTGTGGGGGTGCGCCTGTGTCACCTGACATGTGACACACGTGTGTATTGTGATGTGTTGTGAGCGTAATGCACATCACGGTGGGTGGCTGTGTCATCGGGGACCACAAAGATGAGTCACTGTGAGTGTGGGTGCTGGCAACGTGTGTTGCCCTGTCGGTGTAAATACACGAGTGTCCTGTAGTATGTTGTGTGTACAAATGTGTCATGGCGGAGGTGTGTGTGGAGCACACTGTAAGAATGTATCACTGTAACTGTGGGTGTCATGGTGTGTCATTACCCGTTCCCGCACGAATGAGTATGTGTCAACGTGAGTGAGCCTGATTCTATCACTGAGGGTGTTTAGAGCATGTACACGTGTGTGTCTATGTTTCTGCACTCACATTTTGTGATTTATGAAGATAAAGGCCAAGGGAAAACAATGTGGCTCTCAGATCTGTTATTGGGGCCACTGGGGGGCTTTGGGACCCGGTGGGGCAGGGTCTCCAAGTGTTGGAACTTGGGGAATGGGGAAAGTCACACAGTAAACTGTGGGTGCAAGAGGGTGTGTGAGAATGAATGCCCCTGTGGGTCCCTGTGTGTCCATGAACATGGCCTCAGGAAGTAAGTGAGCCCCCGTGCCCTGGAGGGGGTGTCCATGAGGGTTTGTGACCTGATACGCATAATGTCTCCCTAAGTGTGCATGAGCCCGAGGATATATGGGCTTCTAAGCATGTACCCACGGGTGTACGTGTGTTTGTGAGCGTATCTGTCCACTGAGCATGTATCCATGAGTGCACACGGCCCTAAGTGTGCTATGCCCACGGCTCATGGATGTGTGTGCCCCTAAGAGAACGTGTGCCCAAGGACATACGTGTGTCCCTAAGACAAGAGAAAGTGTGCCCAAGGGCATAGGTGTGCCCCTGAGACAAGGAGACATACGCCCAAGAGCACACATGTGCCCCTGAAACAGAGAGGTGTGCCCATCGTCAGGCGTGTCCCACTGAGCACGGGCGACCGAGACCAGGGAGGCACCACGGCCACGCGCGCCCCCGCGCGGCCGCTCTCGGGAATCACTGCGCGTGCGCGCCCCGCCCACAAGCCCGTCCGGCCGCCGCGCCTGCGCACGTGCGGCCTTTTACGGCGCCGTAAAGCAGCTCGGCCGAGCCGACGGCTGCAGTTCTCGGTGAGACCCCGGCGCTCGCGTCTTCGCCCCGCCTCGTCCGCCCCCCCAACCGCTCCCCGCTGGCCTGTGGGTCCCGGGCCAGGGTCTCGGCGTCCGCGAGCCCCGCCCGCCCACTTCGGCCCACCCGGGGGAACCGCGAGGAGGGTGGGCTCCTCCCGGGTTCCGGCGCCCGGGTGCAGGCCGGGGCTGGGGTCTCGGGGCCCCGCCTTCCGCAGCTCAGCTCACCAACCCCCATCGCAGCCCGGGGCAGGGGTGTCGACATTCCCCTCCCATCCCGCGCCCTGGGCCCTCCCCATGGAGGCGGCGCCGGCCGGGAGTCCCCGGGACCCCGCCCCCGCGGGTCCGCTGGCCTCCCCATCCCCCACGCGGCCCTCGTTGCCGCCATCTCTGCACCCCCAGACCCCTCCGGCCTCTGGCCCCGGCCCTGCATGCCGGGGGCGGGCTTCTCAGCTCCCCCTCGCGACCTCACTCTTGGCGGCGGCTTCACACCTGAGGGGGCGAGGTGGGGGGGCGGAGGGAGGGAGTCTCAGCGCTCGCTCTGGGGACCCCCTTCCGTTTCCCCCCTTCTCCCCTCCCCGCTGCCACCCCCTCCGCAGAGCCACAGTGTGGAGGTCTCGGCGCCCCCTGGGGGTTTTCCCCATCAGCCTCCTTCTAGTCTCTTCCCTCACCGATCGCTGCGGCTATATTCGCTGGAATGGGGCGACCACAGCCTCCCCGCCCCCCCAGGTTCCCCCAAACTCCGGGTCTGACAGTCCGCCCCCTCCCTCTTGTTTCCCACGGTCCTGCTAGCTACCTTGCTGGAGAGCATGGGAATCGGGGGCTCCCAACGCCTCTGCGCCCCCCCTTCCAGTCTTTGTTCCGAATGCAGGCTCATCCGCGGCCCAGGGGGGCGCGCTTCGTGCGTGGGGGCGGGGGCTTGGAAGGGTTCCCAGCGTCCCCTCTGGTCGGCCCCCTCGTCTGTATCTCGTCTGTGCTCTCAACCCTCCTGGCCTTTGGTCTTGACACCCCCCCCCCCCCCCCCCGCCGTTTCTCTGCCTTTCCGCCTTGGGAAGTCAGCGCTGCTGGAGCGCACGGCGGGGGAGGGACAGTTGCCCGTGTCCTCGCACAGTCGCCCATCCTGGTCCCCTCCCTGCCCTAGGTCTGACGCCCCCCTCCCCCATGCATTAGTTTTCTAGTTACTCCCACAGGTGGCGGAGTGGGGCACGAAGGTGCTTTTCACATACGAGGAATCACCTGGAACTCGAGGGCCGGGGTGATTTCCAGCGTCCCCTCTGATTCGCCTCTTGTCTCTGCTCCCCGCTTCCCCGCCTGAGCCGTCTCCTCGCTAAGGGTATAAGCCCACCCGTTCCCCCGTTTGTCCTTCCCTGACTAGGTGTAATGGAGGCGCCTTTACGCGCAGGTAGATGCCCCCTTTCTTTGCCATCATCTCTTCCCACGTGGGAAGTCAGCGATAGAGCACAGGAGCGGGGTGGGCCGGGGCGGGGGGGTCCCAGGGTTCTCCCCCGCGCCCCTGACCCCGGTGTTTCCTCGCGCCCCCGCAGGGCGGCGGCATGGAGGCGCGCTTCACGCGCGGGAAGTCGGCGCTGCTGGAGCGCGCACTGGCGCGGCCTCGCACCGAGGTGAGCCTGAGCGCCTTCGCGCTGCTCTTCTCCGAGCTGGTGCAGCACTGCCAGAGCCGCGTCTTCTCCGTGGCCGAGCTGCAGGCGCGCCTGGCCGCGCTGGGCCGCCAGGTGGGCGCTCGCGTTCTGGATGCGCTGGTGGCTCGCGAAAAGGGTGCCCGGCGCGAGACCAAGGTGCTGGGCGCGCTGCTCTTCGTCAAGGGCGCCGTGTGGAAGGCGCTCTTCGGCAAGGAGGCCGACAAGCTGGAACAGGCCAACGACGACGCGCGCACCTTCTACATCATCGAGCGCGAGCCGCTCATCAACACCTACATCTCCGTACCCAAGGAGAACAGCACGCTCAACTGCGCCAGCTTCACGGCGGGCATCGTGGAGGCCGTGCTCACGCACAGCGGCTTCCCCGCCAAGGTCACGGCGCACTGGCACAAGGGCACCACGCTCATGATCAAGTTCGAGGAGGCGGTCATCGCCCGAGACCGAGCCCTGGAGGGCCGCTGACCCCGCGGGAGATAAAGGATGCGGAGCGCCCCCTTCCGAGTGTGTCTTGTGTTTTGTGTGGGGGGCCTCGGAGCTCCACTCCACGCCGGGACCCAGGCAGGTTTATAATACACTGGGGACGGGGCGGGGGCCGGGTCTGACCCAGTTAGGCTTTCAGAGAGGGGTGGGGGTTAGGGGAGGCCAGGGGCGGTGCTGGAAAACCCAGGCAGAAGGAGCAGCTGGTGCGGCTGGAGCGGGGAGAAGGCCGGTGCTTTCTGGGATCACAGCTGGAGGCCCGGCTGGGGCGGGGTGGAGGGCCTCCCTTAGACCGGGGAGTGGCGCACCTTTTGTGAAGGACCCGCTAGTCCCACAATTTATGCCTGCCCGCCTGTCCCTCTGTCCAGCTGCGGTGTCACAGCAGGAGGTCAGCGATGGGTGTGGCTGTGATGGCAGGACTGGGGTGGTTTGCAGACCTCTGCTTTAACCCCTTGTTACCCTTGCTGCGGTAGCAAGATCCCGGGCGCGGCCTGTGCACCTTGGCGACAAGCAGGGCCCCTGGGCACAGTCTTAAATCTCGCGTGGCTGGGCCCCAGCCCCAGAGTTTCCGATTCTGCAGATCTTGGGTGGGGGGGCCGAGGATTTGCATTTCTAACAACTTCCTAGGAACTGCTGTTGCTCCGGGGGCCACACTTTGAGAACTCTGACCCTGGTTCTCAGGGCGGAAATGGGCGGGCTCATTCGGAGTCACCTGGATGCTTAAAATATCCTGAAGTGAATGTCTAAACCCGTGATCGGCGTCCGAACACGTGTTCCTTGTTAAAAAAGGAAAATATTACGCTTCAGGTGACGCTTCCTCTCCTTTTTGTTCCCCACTCTCCGCTCCGCTCACTCCTCTTCAGGGTAACTCCTGCCAGACTTTTGGGGGAAATTGTTCAAGTTCTCGCCAGCCCTCACCCCCGCCCCAGGACCTGAAAGGGAACCCCAGGGGCTCCGGCTGGGTCCCCCTCATTGCTTATGAGAAGGGTTGAAGGGGATGGGGTGGGTGCAGGTTTTCAATTTGCCGTTGGGGTGCTCCATCTGGCTGCCTCGTGGAGGGCGGCACAGACGGGGAGACCGGGGACAGTTTAAGTCACCCAAGCAGGAGGTGACGAGCCAGGTGGGCTTCAGCACGTTGTGAAGACCAACAGAAGAAATAAAACCACTGAGCACCCACTGTGTGTGGCGCTGGATGGTCAGGACATAGCTCTGGGCTGGGGGAGGGGAGGGGGCCCAAGGGAGCTGGTAGAGGGGACGGCCAGGGTGGCAGCCTGCACTGGGCTGGGGGGCAGGGCAGAGACGGAAGCCACCGGCCTGGAGGAGGGAGAGCTGAGGGTGGGGTGCTGGGAGGCCAGATTTCAGAGGGAACTGCAGGAGTCTGGGTCTAACAGCCCTAGGTCCTCAGGGATCCTGGCAAGAGTGGCTTCCAGGGCCTGCTGCTGGGGGACAGGTGGGGCAGATGGCAGGAGCGAGAGGCGGAAGGCAGGGGCAGCGTGGCCAGCTCGGTCCACAGGCCCAGGAGTGAAGGATGCCAGAGAGAAATAGTGCCGGAGGGAGGAGGTGGGGCCGGTCCCCAAGGGAGGGCTTGGCAGCTGGGAGAGGAGGGCCTGGGGTCTGTGGAGGGACTTGCCGGAGAAGGTTTGGGACAAGCTGCAGGGCTGTGGGGCTGGACCCCGGTTTGCGGCAGGGGAGGACAGGGAGAAAGAACAGGCAGCTGTGCTCCTCAGGGTCCCGTCACGGTGGTTCTGGCTTAGGATGCTTTGGGCTGCAAGTTAGGCCTCCACTGAAGCCCTGTGATGGGGGGTGGGCGGTGGGGGGACCCAGGACCAGCCCTTGGTGACCCAGGCAGGCAGCATGCCTCATTTCACAGGGCACAGAGCAGGTTCCAGAAGAGTCATCTGCCTACAGTCACGTGTTAATTAATTCAACAAATATTTATTGAGCGCCTACTGTGTGCCAGGCGCTGGGGACAGCTGAGAACCAAACAAAGGCAGGCACCTGCCCTCCTGAAGCTTGCATTCTAACCCGTGTACACAGGCAGTGAACAGATCAGTGAATTACACATCTTGTCGGAAGGAGAAGGGTGCCGTGGTGGGAGAGTACAGAGGAGTAAAACGGACTGGGAGTCAGGGCTGTCATTTTAAATGGGAGGGAGGGAGAGCTCAGGATAGGCCTCACTGAGGAGCTAGCAGGGGAGGCAGCATGTGCAAAGGCCCTGGGGTGGGAGTGAGCCTAAATGTTTAAGGTATAGGGAGGTGGCTGGGGTGGGTGCCGGATGCGGGGAGGAGAAAGAGAAAGTGAAGTTGGGGAGATAAGGCACGTGGGAGGGGTTCTGAGATCGCAAAGGACCCTGTAAGGCTTTGGCTTTTCCTCTATATTGAAAGGAAACTTCTAGAATGTTTGGGGGCAGTGAAGAGGGAGACCAGAGGGAGTGAGGATGGGGGCCACGCCAAGGCAGTGGGTGGATTCTGAATGTGTCTGGACACCACGGCCCATGGCTCTCCTTATGGGTTTGGAGGGGGCAGTGAGGGAACGAGGTGGCCAGGGTGCCCCCAGTGCGGGCCTGAGTGACTGGTAGAGGGGAGCCTCGAATACAGTGTGGAGGGCTCAGGTAGGCAGTTTTGCGCTGGCTGGGAGTTCCGGGGTGGGGAGCTGGGGGACACAGACATCTAGGGATGGGCAGTGAATAGAGAGCACAGGTGACCTGGAGTCCAGCCCATCTTTCGCTCCAGAGGCCCAGTCCTGTCCCCACCCCGTGCTGGGCCCTGGGCCTCCCAGCTCCCACCTTCCACACCTGCAGGCCCCTGAGGAGGGGGCCAGGCTGAGGGGCCCCCGTCGCCCTGTCTTACTGATGCAGGCCGGGTGGGGAGGACTGGCTGCCTGAGCGGGGGACTCTGTCGTGTGGTGCCCGGACACGCGCGGCGTCTGGGGAGGGCACGGGTGGGGGTTCACTCCTGACTCCAGCAGACGGCCAGGTCGGGGCGACAGGAAGCACACGGGTCGGGGCCGCTCCCTGGACGGCTGGGCTGCCAGGAGCTGTGCCCCAGTGAGGAGGGGGCTGCTAGCCTTCAGGCTCGTGGGCAGGGGTTCTCGAGGTGGGATCCTCAAGCCCTTAAAGTCAGGGAGGTGGCAATGGCCAGCTGGCCTGAGGAACAAGGGACAAGCCCTCCGGGGCGTTGGCAGGAGCCGAGGATGGGTCAGCTGCTTCCATTTGGGGTGTAGGAAGTATCACCAGGACCCTTCAGCCACCAAAGAGGTGTCCAGGCCTTGGGCGGGGGTCCTCAGGGTCCTGCCATGGGCCTTGCTGTTCCCGTGTTTGAGATGGGGGAGTGACACAGAGGGGCGCTCCTGGTGGGCGGGCAGGGGGCTGTCAGGGTCCACGACTCAGGACAAATCCCCGTGGACCCAGGGGGGCCGAGGTGGCTGGTGGGCAGTCAGCACGTGACCAGCCGGTCACACACCCAGCCGTCCAGGTAGCTGCCACAGAAGGCGTCGTTCCAGTGCCCGGAGGCCCGCATCATGACGCAGTCCTCGCCTTGGCCCCCGTTGTTGGGCTCCCCCGGCTGCCAGTTGCTGTAGCACAGGGCTTCAGGTCATTGGGGTCGGGGATGGGAACGGGGCCCTCTGCCCTCAGCCCAGACACATCCCTGTGAGTCTGGGCCCTGCCCGTCATCCTTGGCCATCTCCCTCAGTTGCCATCCGGAAGCTCCCCCAAGTCCAGGCCTGGGGCCCCCTCCTCTCCATTGGCCCCTCCTCACCTGTAGTCCAGGGGGTTCTGGTCCATCCAGACAAACTCCCCTTCTATGTTCAGGTCCCGAAGGCCAATCCAGGAGCCTTTCTTGTTGGCGTGGCGGGTCAGGAAGTCCTGGGGAGCAGGACAGGGCTGGAGGACTGGGGAGACGTGTCTGGGTCCCCCTGCCACACGACGAGTTGGGCTGGGGACCCCCTCCTCCCCCTCCCCCACAGCACCGGCGGCACCCTCTGCGGAGCCCGGCCCACCTGCTCCTCCTGGCTGTGGATGCTGACCAGCCGCCCGTGCAGCTTGCTGCAGGCGAACCGCGCCTGGATCCACCGCTTGGGGCCCTCCCCGAAGTAGTAGCACTTCTTTTGGAAATGGACCCAGTCGTCGGGGCACGTGTTACACGTGGAGCCTGGGGTGGAGGAGAGGCTCAGGGGGACAGCGGAGGAGGGCACCATGGCGGACACTGTGGTGGGAACCGTGGTGGGCACTGTGATGGGAACCGTGGCGGGAACCGTGGTGGGAACCGTGGTGGGAACCGTGGCGGGAACCGTGGCGGGAACCGTGGTGGGAACCGTGGCAGGCACTGTGGTGGGAACTGTGGCGGGAACCGTGGTGGGAACCGTGGCAGGCACTGTGGTGGGAACTGTGGCGGGAACCGTGGTGGGACCGTGGTGGGAACCGTGGCGGGAACCGTGGCAGGCACTGTGGTGGGAACCGTGGTGGGCACAATGGGCAGAGTGGGTGGCAGCGTCTTTCTTGGAGTCGCTCCTGGCCTCCGGGCTGAAAGCAGACCCACCCCAGAGCCTAGCAGAGTCTCGCAGTTTGCCTTCCTCCCTGGAGCTCTGATGCCGACGTGCTAGACCCGCTGCACCGCAGGAGCAGCTCAGCCGCCAACATCATGGCCACGACCTCCACCCTTGTCAGGAACACCTTTGTCACCAACATCATCCCCCAGACACCCATGATCGCCAGCAACATCTCTCACCACCACCAACACCGCCTTTAGGGGCCCCACACCAGCCACGTCTGAATCACCAGTGCCGGTGGTCATGCTGAGGCTGAGACCACCAGCATTACTCTGCCGGTGTCCTGTCCTCACCAGCTGCTCCAATAACAGCCCTGGCCACCATCGCTGCCAGCACCACCGAAGCCAGCGCCCTTGGCCACTGTCTTGGAAATGGAGATGATTTTCTTGTTGGAGCCCATGGGGAGGACTGGAGGGCTGGAGCGTGGTCTGTCTCCTCTTACCCCGACCCCAAGAAACCTGTCAGGCGCTGTCGCCACCCTAGCATTCCCGGGTGGGAGTTTAAACGCACTGTTACTGGATCCACTCACTCGTGATTCGCTGCAGATTTTCTTAGAGTGAACGTGGACCGAGGGCTCCCTGGCTTTGGGGGAATTGTTCTAAGGGGTCTGGAGTCCACGGCAGCTTGAGGACCCCCCGGGGAAAACAGAGCTGGAGGTGCTGCTCACACGTGAACTGGGGAACCAGCGCGTAGCCCTCTGGGGGTGAAAACAGGAAGAGAATCTCTCTGGGTCCTTCAAGGGAACTTCAGGGAGGGTGACCTGCCCACGTGTCACGTGGTCATTGAGAGACAGCCCCCAGAGCTGGGCTGAGACCCCAGGCCATGGGACTAGACTTGGTGAGGGGTGGGGGGCACTCAGGGACAGAGCAGGAATTAGGAGGGGCCCCATCACAGTGAGCGAGGCTCAGATCCCTCTTCCCACCCTCCCCAGAAGGACCACTGCGGGGTTTCTTCCTGGGATTCCCACAGCCACCCCACGTCCCAGGGGACAGCTCTCCACACCCAGCACTTCCTCTTCTCCCCAGTTGGGGCAGCTGGGGCTCCACAGAGGGCAAAGATCAAATATCCAGGGTGGGCTGGGGTGGGGGGGACCTCAGAGCAGTGACAGCCGGGTCCCTACCCCAGGATAAAGGCACAGGGATCGAATCTGCTCTTTCTGCAGCCTGCTGGGGCCGCCCCCACGCCCCCCGTAACTGCCAGCATCCCCTCCATCACTGCCACCGCTAGGGAAGACGCCACGGTCCCCGCTGTCCCCATCGCTGCAGAGGTGACTCCCCTCCGGCCCCCTGGCTGGATCAGGCAAGCTTCCCCCAGGGCTGTGGCTGAGGGCACCCTAATGATGACCGTCTGCTAAGCCGAACTGGGCAGAAGAGAGAGAGTGAAGAGAACCCAGAGATGGTAAATGTGGGGCAACTTTTACCTAGAGGAGGGAAAAATGGTGGGACCCCCCCAAATCGGTGGAGGGAGCAGCTGGACTCAGAAAGGGCATTCTCGTGGGGCCCCCATCACCCCTGCCACACACATAAATACACACCCATCCACGTTGTCACACATACACCTCTACTGTGTGTTTGAACATACAGTGCCCACACCTGTGCAGTCACATGCGCACACCCACACAGCCGTGGGCCCAGACGCTCACACTCACCGTTGGACACGCGTAGCTCTATCCACAGCTTCGCCACTTCCTCCTGGAGCCTGTCCAGTGCGTGCAAGGCTGCGCGTCTCTCATTCAAGCCTGGCGTGGGTAGGGGTTGGAAGGGGGCTGTGGTCAAGAGACCCACTTGCGAGCCCCCTTCCTTGCCCCTCCCCTCCTCTCCCCAGGCTCACCCTGGGACTGGAGGTCGCTCAGGTCCTCGCGAAGTCCGTTCAGGTTCCGGGAGAGCTCCGAGTCTGATGAGAGCGGGTATGGGGGCAGGAGCGGTGTCAGGGATGTTGTCTGTGGGCCGAACGTCCCCGAGCTTGGTCCCCAGCTTCACCGCCCACCATGGCCCCAGGACCCTGCCCCCAACCCTGATCTCTCACCCTGAGATTTCATTCTGTTCTGCTCATCTTGGATTTTCTCCATGCTCTGCGACATCTTGGCAGCTGGTTGGGGGGTGGTGCTCAGTGGCAAGCACGTCATCAGAACCACACCCCCATTACCCCCCACCGGCCCCTCGGCCTCTGACCCTGGGTCTTTGGGGTCACCTGCTCGTTTCCCAAGTCACAGGTGGCCTAGAGCACTTGATCCACGTGTTATCCAGGTTCCCCCTGACCCCTCCTCTCAGGCCCCAAGCTGAGGCTGCTCACCCTGGGATTCCTGGGCCACCTGCTCCCCCTTGTGTTTTTCCAAGTCCTTGGAAACCTGAGAGACTGGGGCGGCAGGAGGTAAGACGTGTTATCAGGACCCAGGAAGGCAGGTCCTTGGGTCGCCCCCACCAGCCCCAAGTGCAGGCCCCCCCACCGCCACCCCACCCAGTCACAACGGCCGCAGCTTTTGTTTTGAATTTGGGGGGGAAATGTACTCAGGAGAACTCAGGCGAGAATCGAATGAACTTCTCCCCCCCAGGATGGAATAGAAAAGTAGCAGGCTTTTACTAAAAGCTCCCTGGAGGGGTTCTAAGTGCCTCGCGGGGTCTCAGCTGGTTTCTGCCTCGTGACACTGAGCCGATGCCCACCTTGCAGGGGAGGAAGGCGAGGCAGGGAGCCGTTTGGGCAGCTTCCGTTGGGCATGTCTCAGAGCCCGCCCTCGCAAGAGTCGCGGGGTCTTCAGCCCCGGGGAGCGGGGAGCACAGGCTGACCCTCAGTTCCCAGGGGGGACCCTGGAGCCGTTTCTCCCACATCCCACAGCCATCAGGGGCAGAAGCAGGACAAGAGCCAGGTGCCCCCCAGCCCCGTCTCTCCCCGCTTGGCTCCTCCCTACCGTTCTGGGCCGCGGTCTTTTCCAGCTGTTTCAGCTTCTGCACAGTCTCCAAGTCTGGGGAGGAGGAGAGGAGAGGGGTGAGAAAGGATTTTTCGGGTGCCCCCCCACCCCCACCCCACACGGTCACAATGGCCGCAGCTTTTGTTTTGAATTTGGGTGGCAAATGTACTCAGAGAACTCAGGGGAGAATCGAATGAACTTCTCCCACCCAGGATGGAATAGAAAAGTAACAGGCTTTTACTAAAAGCTCCCTGGAGGGGTTCTAAGTGCCTCGCGGGGTCTCAGCTGGTTTCTGCCTCGTGACACTGAGCCGATGCCCACCTTGCAGGGGAGGAAGGCGAGGCAGGGAGCCATTGGGGCAGCTTCCCTTGGGCACGTCTCAGAGCCCGCCCTCGCAAGAGTCGCGGGGTCTTCAGCCCCGGGGAGCGGGGAGCACAGGCTGACCCTCAGTTCCCAGGGGGGACCCTGGAGCCGTTTCTCCCACATCCCACAGCCATCAGGGGCAGAAGCAGGACAAGAGCCAGGTGCCCCCCAGCCCCGTCTCTCCCCCCTTGGCTCCTCCCTACCGTTCTGGGCCGCGGTCTTTTCCAGCTGTTTCAGCTTCTGCACAGTCTCCAAGTCTGGGGAGGAGGAGAGGAGAGGGGTGAGAAAGGATTTTTCGGGTGCCCCCCCACCCCCACCCCACACTGTCACAACGGCCGCAGCTTTTGTTTTGAATTTGGGTGGCAAATGTACTCAGGAGAACTCAGGCAAGAATCGAATGAACTTCTCCCGCCCAGGATGGAATAGAAAAGTAACAGGCTTTTACTAAAAGCTCCCTGGAGGCGTTCTAAGTGCCTCGCGGGGTCTCAGCTGGTTTCTGCCTCGTGACACTGAGCCGATGCCCACCTTGCAGGGGAGGAAGGCGAGGCAGGGAGCCGTTGGGGCAGCTTCCGTTGGGCTCGTCTCAGAGCCCGCCCTCGCAAGAGTCGCGGGGTCTTCAGCCCCGGGGAGCGGGGAGCACAGGCTGACCCTCAGTTCCCAGGGGGGACCCTGGAGCCGTTTCTCCCACATCCCACAGCCATAAGGGGCAGAAGCGGGACAAGAGCCGGGTGCCCCAGCCCCGTCTCTCCCCGCTTGGCTCCTCCCTACCGTTCTGGGCCGCGGTCTTTTCCAGCTGTTTCAGCTTCTGCACAGTCTCCCAGTCTGGGGAGGAGGAGAGGAGAGGGGTGAGAAAGGATTTTTCGGGCGTCCCCACCCACCCACACCCCATCTGCCAGTTAGGGATGGAGGGAGGCCTTGCATATACCATGTGGGAGACGCGGGGCGGGGCTCCTGGGGGTCAGGGGCACGGGGCTGCAGGGTCAAGGTGGGAGACACGATGGGAACACTGGGCTCTGGGGCTGTGTTGGGCTCCCCAGGACCTGGGAGCGGGGGGCTGGGAGGGAACACGGGAGGGAGGCCGCAGGGGACTGGGGGTGTCCTCACGCCACAGGAGAAGCAGGGTCAGCAGCCCGGCCCACATCGCGGTGGTCACCAGTCCCAGCAGTGCGAGCAGCGTCCCCCGCTGGCAGCACTGCCGCCGCCTCCTGGGAAACTTTGGGAACTCTACTGGGGGTAGGGGGAACACCGAGGGGCACAGGGTGAGGCTGGGCTCTGGCTCTGCCCGTCTCTGCATCGCCCAGAGCCCCAAAGTCCTGGGAGCCTGCCCAGAACCCACACTGAAGCAGAGGGTCTCAGTGGACCCCCAGCCTCCTCTGCACACCTTCCCCTCGCGCTGCCGTCTTTCATGTCCATCAGGCCCCCCCAGCCCCGACCTTTGTGTGTCCATCTCTGCATCTGTGCATCTCTGGGTGTGTCCCTCCACCCATCCAGCCCAATGTCTCTGCTCCTTCTGCCCACACTCCAGCAGTCAGCAGGCCAAACTTGGGGCCAGGTCACTGTCCAGAGAGACAGGCCCGGGGCCAGGAGCTGAGACCTCCTCCTCCAGGGGCCACCTCCTCAGGTGAGGCAGCCGACCCCCACCCAGCTCTCACCTGAGACCCTTCTCCCTTTTATGGGTTCACTTACGCCCCCACTAATGCTGGGCCCCAGCCTCACCTCCAGAAGGCCGCGTCTCCCCTCCCCTCCCACCCCCAGCCCTCGCCCTCACGCCCGTCCCCCACTCTGAGCCTCTCCCCCAAACACAGGACACCGGGGCTCAGTTCCTCCCCGTATCCAAGCTCTTCCCCAGATGTCAGGCCTCCCCCAGGCCTCACCCCAACTCCTGGGCCCCCCAAGGCCCTGCCTTGACACCTCACCGCGGGCCCCAGGCCCCCTCCCCTCACCCTGGCTATGAGGATCCATCGTGTTGAGTCCCACTTGGTCTCCGACTCTATCGGGCTCCCAGAGCCCCAGCTGGAGCTGGTTTTTGTTGGGAGGGTGTTGAGTCAGAGAAGGGCGGTGCCCTGGCTTCCCTCTCCTGCCGGGCTCTGTGCCAGGAGGCCGGTTGGAGCTCACCTCCCCCCCGACGCTGGGCCTTTCCTAGAAATTCACTCTTCTTTCCAGATGGGGACCCAGGAGCCTTTCTCCTCTCCAGGGTGGAAGGTAGGAGGTCAGGGGGTCAGAGTTCTTGCTTTGGCCAGTGTCAGCTCCTGAGAGCCCTCTCACCTGAGTATGCATGTTCCTCCATGGCAGCCCTGCTTGGATTCTCCCAGTGACAGAGTGCTCACCACCTGTCAAGGCAGTCCACTTGACTGGCACAGTCACAGCTCTGGCTGGGATCTGGGATCTAATGAGGGTTAGGGTTAGACGTCAGGCTCTAGTTACTGGCACAGGCCAGCAGCGGGGACTTGAGGACCCCAGGGTCCCCCAGAGTCCACAACCGGGAGTCAGTGTTGCTCCTGCAGCTGGCATGGAGGGTCACAGGCCTTGAGACCACAGGTGGGCACCCCAGAGCCCATCACATGTGAGGTATACAGCAGGTGGTCCATAAATGTGCACCTGTGTGATCTTGGCAAGTGACTGAACCTCGAAATCAGTTTCCCTAACCCATAAAATGACAACATTCGTAATACCTACACCGTAGGGTGGTTGTCGGCTCTATGTGAATGTGTAAAATGCTTTGAACAAGGCCTGGCACATGGTGAGCACCAAAAGTAACCTCAGTTCTTGTCACTGTTGCTGCCTGTGTAACCTCAGTCCGGGACTCAACGTTTCTGAGCCTCCGTTTTCCCCTCTGTAGAAGGTGGGTGATGACGGTACCCAATTCATGAGACCGTGGTAGGATCAAATGAGATAATAATGTATTCCTGAGGCTTTGGGTGCGTGGCTGCACACAGAGGGTCTTCAGGTCCTCAACATTTATCAGGCATCTACTCTGTGCCAGGTCCTGCTGGGAAAAGCAGCGACTCTGTCACCCAGGCCTCAGCTTTCTCCTTTGCCAACGTGCCCAAGGTGTCTTTAAAGTCTCTTGGCTTGAAAGCACTGAGGATGTGCCAAAGAGCTTGGGCTTTGGGGTCAGACAAGCCTGGGGGGTCATTGGCTTCCTCCTTGCTGTGTGACCATGGGCAAGTTGCTTCCCCTCTCTGAGCCTCAGGGAAGCAGAGATGTGGGCTGCCAGGCTCCAAGGAACAGCATCCCAGACTGAGTCTTGCACTATCCTGGAGGGAGCCAGAGGGGTCACCGTCCTGTGACAGGGGAGACAGCCGGACATGGCTGAGCCCAAGCCGGCCAGACTCAGAGCTGAGTCTTGGCTGCTCCCTAGATGAACAACTCAGCTTTCTCATTTGTAAATTGGGGGTAAGTGACAGCGCTGGCTCCACAGGACGCTCAGTCAACCTAAGGGTGGGATGCTGGGGGAACTGAGGGACCGAGAGCGTAATTTATCTACGTCACACAGGGGTGGACATGATCATGGTCACCCCCAGTGCACCCGCTAGGCTCAACTTTGCTCAGCCAAGCCGGTTGACTGGCTTTCACTTCCCCAAACCAGGTCCCTGCCTGCCTGGCGAGGCTGTCCACACCTGCCCCCTGCCCCCTGCCTTTCTCTCGCACAGACCTCTTCCTGGCCTCCCTCAAGACTCAGCCTGATGTCGTTCCCTCCAGGAAGCTTCGATGTCCAGTTTCCACCGCCGACCCGACACACACACACAGAGCCACACGTGTCCACACTCAGGCACACGCACACTGACACACCGTCGCACACTCACACGCACCGTGTGCTCACACAGGCTCACTCACATGAGTTTCGAGCGCGTCGTCCTCCTCCTAGTCTGTTGGGGCCGTTGGGCGACGCCGGCAGGGGCCACAGGCCGTGGTGACAGGTCTAACCTGGAGAGACAGTTTCTTCTGAAAGCAGACCCACCCACAGCTTCTATTTTCACAGACCTAATTATGGACTTGCCCATCCACGCATGGCCTCCTCAGATGCCCCCCACAGCCCGGTAAAGTCCCTGCTATTATTATCCCCACGTCTCAGGTGAGCAATTCGAGGTTCAGACACGCAAAGCCACCATCCCAGAGTGCTTTAGGACGGAAGTGGCCGAGTCAGGATGCGAAGCAAAGTGACTTCGCGCTGAATCCTTATTCCACCATGGCAGGGAAGAGGGAGCGAGAGAGGAGAGAGGGAAGGAGGGAGGGAAGAAGAAAGAGAGAGAGAGAGAGGAAAAGAAGAGAGGAGGGAGGAAGAGAGGGAAGAAAGAGATCATGAGATGACATTGATCAGACATTGACGATTCGTTATATAGTTTAATTAAGTGGCACCGTGTGCTGGGCACAGCTCTTAGTGTCAGGCACATTGACACGCGTGATGTTCACAATCGCCCTGTGAGGTGGACGCTTTTGTCATCCATGCCGCCTTCTGGATAAAGAATGTGAAACGCAGAGGATGTTGAGTAACTTGCCCAAGGTCACACAGCTCATCCATGGCAGAGCCAGGCTTTCCACCCAGGCAGTGTGGATCCTAACCACTGTGCCACTTCAACTTGCATTCACAGGAACTCCTTGACACTTCACACACTCTGCTTCTCCTCCCCTCAGACGTGTCCCCTGATCCTTAACCCCCTCCCCGCTCTCGGCTGGGGGACGCCCATGCTGACCTCCCCACCTCAGGCTTGGCGCCCTGCCTCTCACTCCAGAAGAAGCCCACCTGTGCCCCCATGTCCCACCTCTCAACCAGGACTGACCTGGGCCAGCCACCGGCTGGGGAGGGGCCTGGCTGGAAGGTCCCCAGGACTTGGCACTCCAGGACAGAGGGGACTGTCTATCACACTGTGTCCCCAGCGTGGGGACAGGTAGCCATCAGTCCCCGTCTATTGAATGAATGACGCAGGTGGGCTGAGGCTGCTTGTTCTGGGTCCCCGAATATCTCTCTGAACCTCGATCTGGGCTAGTTGTGGGGGCTTGAACCCATTGCATGGTCTGGCAAGTGACAGAGGATGACCATTTTAAGCGAGGAATAGAGTTGTCAGGTGGGCATCAGAGAGGGGTCACTGGGGGCTGCTGAGCGGACAAAAGACAGCAGGAGGTCTGGGTGGGGTGGGGACCCTGGGGGGGCTGTCATGGGGGCCAAGGGGGAGTGGGGACACTGAGGGGGCTGTCACCTGGTCAGGGGGCCAGAAGAGGTGGCCTGGGGCAGCAGCGATGGGGATGGAGAGATGAGGTTGGTTTGAGAAGAGACGGGCTTTGGTGATGGGTGGGATGTGTGTGTGTGTGTGGGGGGGGAGGGGTTACTCAGAAAATGCTGTGGAAAATGCCCGGGTGTCCCCCGGAGCGTCTAGGTGGACAGTGGGGCTGTCCTAGTGATGAGGACACAGGACAGGACTTGGGACAGAGGATGGGGCTGGATGGCATTTGGTGTTCTGAGTTTCTGAGCGTTCTAAGATCCAGGTGGCCCCACCCTCAGCCCCACTGGGGCCCACTGGCCCTGCAGGTTCTTCCAGGCTCCACGGCCATGCGGTTCTCGGTCCCTGCCAAGACAAGAGGATGCTTTGGGGGTGAAATCTTGACCCCTGACTCTGCGGGCTGCCGGGACCCTGTGACGCGATGGCCTCCCCCACTCCTTGCGGTGTCAACCTACGTCTCTTGCTCAGTTTAGGGGAAAAACAGGAAACCGTGCGGATGTGGGCCTTGATCTGAAGGTGTCGGTTCTCCTTTCAGGTTTGGGATCCTTGAACCTCGGGCTGCACCGAGCGCATCGCCAGTCCCGAATCCCGACTCAGCAGGAGCGAGTCAGGGACCTCGCAACCACCATGAAGGATCCCCAGGCGGGATCCCACCGCCTCCCCAGCCCTGCCCTACTCGCCCCCAGCTCGCCCCTAACGATGTTCCATTTCGAAACCCCAACCTGCGCTCCGTGCGGCGCGTAGCCGCCTCCACCGCGCTCAACACAGCACCTCAGCACCTGGGACAGGGCCCCGCGTGCTGCAGACGTGAGGAAGGGACCTCGCGATCCTGACCCCAACCCGATCCGGCGCAGCCCCGGGCTCACCCCGCCTGTTTAACCTCTCCTGATGTGGCGAGAGGGAGAAGGGAAGGGGAAGTGTGTGTGTGTGTGGAAGGCAGTAGGTGTGTCAAATCCAGGAGGGCTTCCAAGAGGAGGTGCCCCTAAAGCTGTTTCTCTTTCTCCACGCTGTTGACATTGGGGCTGGATGATACCTTGTTATGGGGGCTGCTCTGCCCTGTGTAGGGTGGTGGGCAGCATCCGTGGCCTCTACCCACTAGATGCCAGCTGCACCTCCCTCTTCCACCTAATCGTGACAACCAAAAATGTCTCCAGACATCATCAAATGTCGCCTGGGTGGCAGAGTCACCCCTAGGTGAGAACCTCTGCCTCAAACCATGATTTAAAGGAGAAGATACTGGCTTCAGGCTTCAACACACTTTCGCTCTTTCTCTCTGTCCCCATCTGTCCCTCCATCTACTGTGAACAGATCACTTGTCTCCCCCATCATTCATTCAACAACCATTTCTTTCTTTCTTTTTTTTTTTTTTTTAAGATTTTATTTTTTTCCTTTTTCTCCCAAGCCCCCCGGTACATAGTTGTATATTCTTCATTGTGGGTCCTTCTAGTTGTGGCATGTGGGACGCTGCCTCAGCGTGGTTTGATGAGCAGTGCCATGTCCGCACCCAGGATTCGAACCAACGAAACACTGGGCCGCCTGCAGCGGAGCGCACGAACTTAACCACTTGGCCACGGGGCCAGCCCCTCAACAACCATTTCTTGAGCATCTACTGTGTGCTGGGCTCTGGGAACAAGACAAAGTCCCAGCTCTCGTGAGGGAGGAGACAAAACTTTTTGTTTTTAATCGTGGTAAAATATACATAACATCGAATTTACCATTTAATCATTTTCAGTGGCATTAAGTGCACTCACATTTTGTTGTGCAACCATCCCCTCCATCCGTCTCCAGAACTTTCTCATCTTCTCAAACTGGAGCTTTGTCCCCATGAAACGCTGACTCCCCATCCCCGGCCCCCAGCCCCTGGCCCCACCATCCTACTTTCTGTCTCTGTGCATGTGACTCCTCTAGGGACCTCCCGTGAGTGGAATCACACAGGATTTGTCCTTCTGTGACGGGCTTATTTCACTGAGCATCATGTCTTCAAGGTCCATCCTGGGGCAGCATAAAAACCGGGTTGAAGTCCACAAATCCACAGGACAATTGCTGCTGGTGGAAAGCAGGCTCGGGGGTAGCCGGTGGGGGTGGGGGGAGAGCCGGTTCAGACCGGATGATTCAGAAACTTGAGGGATGTGGGGTGACGTCTGAGCAGACCACTCTGGGAGAAGCAGAGACGGCTGCTGGACTTTTCTCCTAAATATTTCCTGCTGCCACAGGTCCCCGCAGGGGACTTTGTGACCTCGAAGTCATCGGCTGGTACCCTGCCCCCCGCCCCCAGCCAGGGGAAATCCACGTCTTCCTCTCCCAGAGGTCCCCGGACCTGGAGGGGAAGACAGAGAGGGGCCAGCGGCCTTGTGGCCTCCCCCGACCTTGACCATGTGGCTTAAGCAGTCTCCTCCCTTCTTGGGCCTCAGTTTCCCCCACAGAGGAGGGCACTGGACTCCTGGCCCTGGAAGCTCAGGGGTCCGAGTGGCCCCTCCCCGGCCCACCCGGATGTCTCACAGCCTCTCACAGCGGCCCCCCCGACTGTGGGGAAGTGAGAATTCTGAAGAACTGGAGTTGAGCCCAATCGACAGCTGCTGCGAGTCACTAGGGTGAGGGGTGGGGGGGGTTGGGGGGGTGGGGCCCCCAACACGCAGACACACGGACACACACACATGGAGTGACGCCACGCCATCACTCACAGAGTCACACAAATACACAGAGACACACACACACACAGATTGACGGGCACCCCGCTACCGAACCACAGACAACACACCCAACACACACACAGACACCACACAGTAAGAGCACAAACAGACACAACCCAGAGACATCTATACAACACATCCACAAAGATATAGACCGCAGGGCTCAATCAAACTACAGACACGCACAACCAAATAAAACCACACGCACACACAATAGACATATACAATTCATACACACAGATACACACAGAAGTACAGACAAACATATGGAAACAGATGCAACACAAGCAACAAGAAACACACACCAACACACAATACAACAAAACTACAGATTCAACCCATGGACATCTACACAACACATACACAAAGATAAAGACCACATGACACAACCACACCACAGATAAACATACACACACACACAGACAACACAATAAAACCACGGACACCCATAGCACACACACAGGGACACACAGATACCAACAGATACATCGAAACACACACAAGTACACACAAGACACACGGACAGTACACACAAAACACACACATGACGTGAACACACAGATTCAACACCACACAATCCAACTACAGAAATAAGGTCAACACACCCAATGTGCTCACAGAGCTACACACACAACACAATCGCATACACAAACACACATATAAATGCAGAGAAACACATGCCAACAAAATGCACAGACATACAGAGACACACAACACAGTATGAACACATGCTCAGACACACAGACACACAGACGTGCACGCTCACACAGACACACGCATGCACCCTCTGCCGGTCTTCTGCAGAGCTGTTTCGTGGGGAGGTTAACGACAGAAGCCGGGCTCCTCCACCAGCCGTCCTCCTGCTGGACTCGGCTCTCTTTCCCCTCTGCCGGCCTCAGTTTCCCCCCAGGACCTCTCTCTGCCTCTCCACCAGCCCTCGGCTCCAATAACACCCAGTCCTCGCTGACTTCCTGCATCTCTCCCTTCAGCCCAGCCCCACCTCCTGAGCTCGATTCGTTCCTGCATTGATTCACCCACTCATTCATTCATTCATGCATGC